ATACATCTCTAAGATAGTTGTTTGATCCTGTTATTTTCATGTGACTTGTCTATACATTGTGGTTGTAGATTGTTTATCAATTAGTTAAGTTTACAACGTTTTCTGCTTAAAATATTTTTTTGCATATAATGTTAACATATTGAAATTTATCAATAGATGGAGTTAATATACAACTCTTTTAAAGACAAATATTTAATATTTTTTTCTTAAAAATTCAGTTGCCTCATTGATAATTTTTTTAAAAATCATCTGAATAATATGAAAAAGAAAAATCAACTGAAAATATTTTCTCATTGGATCATTTCTAATGCTTATTGTGTTTGTTTAGTCATCCTTCTCCAACCTTATCTAGTCTCATCAATTATTGTCTTTCTTTTTTTCTTTTTCACCATCAAATGTTTTCTCTTAATTAATTATTCGTTTCTTTTAGTCCCTTTATTAAACACCTACTATTCATATTGTCATTAGGTTTTTTAATAAAAAGCTATTTATTTAATGACATACAAACCACTTTTTGTTTCGCATTGAATTATTATCGGTAAGAGAAGTCGAATAGGTATTTTTGTAACAAAAAAAGACAACATCAAACGACGCTAAAAGCCTTTTTATCACTATCATCAGACAGAGAGCTTTAACTTTGTATGATTTCCGACATAATTATATTCTCTTTTTAAATAGTGACTTAAGATAATTTTTGATGAAAATAAAATTTGACTATATCCATTAAGTGTAATAATTGATAAAAATATTTTTTGATAGTAATGATTATTTTATCTATTCTAACTTCTCAGGCAATACTAAATGCAGTATACATATACATATATGTATATAGGATTAATATTTTCATTGGTTTGTCTTATAGTCAACTGAACCTTTCATCAGTTTTGTTTTGATTTTTATACATATGAACATTATTGATGGGTGACCGCAGCGTACTATCTTTTATCGGTTGTTCTCTTTGTATTTTTTGACGATAAAGATCCTTTCTTTTCTTCTACGCTTCACGCAATTGTCTATCCCATTATAATGCATACAAAGATATGTATACATGCACACATATCCATCGACCACATATGTATATATATATTGTCCGTAGTCAAGCGTTTCGCTTTTATGACCACTAAAACAGATACTGTTCATAGTCTCGTTTACTTTGAACGATCGATCAAGGATAATGATAGAAGATACGTAGTCATAAATATTATTACTATTTATTTTTCTATTCTTTTCCTCAATATCTATTCGTTTATTCTTCAACTGAATAAGTACGTATCATGATAATCTTGTACTAATTCGTCAAGTAATTCGTTCCTATTATAGATAATAAGATTTTATTTTTATTATCTTAAGTGTTATATTAACAATTGAATATAGTTAATTAAATCAAAATAAAAACTTTGCTTTTATTCATCTATACATATAACTACTAAATGTGATTCAGTTTTCCATAATGTTTTGTCTTTATATTAAAGCAATGAACGTTAGTTCTTTTTTCATACTATGAGTTTTTCTTTTGTCTTATCTCTTCAAATTTCTCTTGACACACATAGACAGTTGTATGTATTCATTCTAGATTTTTTTTCTATGACTGATTTTGTTTTGCATAACAAGCAGAAAAAAAGCACAGGAAATAGAAGAAAAAGTCTTAATCATATTTTCATAATCTATTTAACATCATTGTCACACTATATTCATTTTCTTTCGATGGATTTTATTCTTTTCATAGTGAAAATTGATCTGATATAAACAAATATATGACAAATAAAAAAAAGAATTATTCATTTGCTGATAGATTAATAAATAAGAGTTTTCACATATAATCGTTCATTGTAAATCAATCAATCATCAATAATGCATCATATTTACTCCTTTTTTTTGTTCTTGTCCTTCATTTATAGCCTTTTGGTTAGTCTAATGTAGTACTCGATATGATTTATAATTGTCAAAATACTCAAGTATTATTATGAGAATTGAGATGAGAAAGATGGTCAATATTAATTTCAAGAAATATATGTATAATTATCGTTTTTTGTTTTTCCTTTCTTCTAGATCTTAGTGTTTATTATAATCGGAATATCTTTTCATTATCACATCATTATTTTTTTTTTATTTTGATAATGTAAGTTAATATTATATAATTCAATTAAACAATTATTTTAGTATTTTTTTTTTCCTCAAATACATTTTAAGGTAGTATAAATTTTATTATAATTATGTATGCCGATATGATATGTGATGTAATGCCACCAATACCTGAAGATGGTACTGGTGGTAGTAGTCATGGTATTAATCATGATGATAATGAATCAGATAATGGTGATGAACCTCAAACAAATATTGAACAGTTGATGGTATCAATGCTTGAAGAACGTGATAAAGTAAAACTAAATAAATCTCCAAAAAAATAATTTTTTTTTGTTTGTTTGTTTTCTATTTATATATAGTTACAAGAAAAATTACATGAAACAGAAGACATATTAAATAATTCACAACAAAAATTAATTGATATTGAAAAAGAACGTGATATTTTACTTCATCAATTATCATTAAATACACCACAGGTATGTATTATATGTGTGTACATATATATATTTGTTTTTCTTTTTGTTCTTTCTAATATTTATATATTACGTTAGTTTTTTTGTTTGATATTAAACATTTGTTTACATCAATCAATACTAAACATAAACAACTGTCATTGATATCTATTTATAAAATCTTGCAATTTCGAACAAGGCTATTTTCATCACACATAGAAATTTTTCTTTTTTTTTTTTTCTTCTTTTGAATATGATTCGTTATTATTATTTGTGTATGTATATCTAGATCATTAAAGATAAACGATGATCGTCCTTAACGATAAATATTTGATATTTTTCGTTTTCTTTTTCATAACTATTATGATTAAAGTATCGTTATGTTATTTTCTTTTTTTTTTGCTTCGTAATTCTTAGAGTTATGTCCATATATTTATATTAAATGCATATGGCCTTAACAATTTATAATGATTAGATCATTCTTTCTATTGTTTTGTAACGATTATAGGGAATTGGATATATATATATAACATTCTAATGTTATTTGATATAGATAATGCAATGTAATACTCATTTTTTTTTTGTTTAAGAATAATGAAGACAAAAACGTGACATTAAATCGATTGATATCGTATTATTTTTATGATTGATTGTCTACTAAGTAAAGCTAAGAAAAAAAAAGAAAACCTAAACGTCATTTCAATAACAAACAAATCAATCTATTATTCTTTTTAATACATTTTGCGTGTGTATGTATGTGTGACGCTTACTGATTACTTTTTAACCAATTTCGATTGACGAGAACGTGGAGTGGCATTGCACTATTTATTCATATCTATTGACTGGAGGTATTATATCGACCTTCAGTCGTATTCCCGGAGAACATCATCAAGATTGTATACATTGAAATACATTTAACAAACCAATCGTTTATTACAAGGTCGTATGGATGACAATTCATGATTATCGATGACAACGTCACTGCCTAGTAATGTGTGAAAATGATGATTTAAACTACTTCAATAAACATTTCGTTACGAGAATAGTTTTCACGTCTATTTATTCTTTCTAAGGACAGTAAAGGAAATCCAAAAAAAAAAAAGAAAAGAAGGAGAAAGAGAGATACATATATAAATAGAGAAACGCGAGAAACAGAAGATCAACATAAGAAAGACAAATTTATCGATTATTTAGTTTTATCGATAATCAACTACACTCAGACATTCTCACGTTGATATTTATTTGATCGATTCAAATATATATATAATGGATCAAAGAAATTTATTTTTTTTCAATACAAATCAATCTGATTATCTTATTAAAATGAATTCATCAACAAATCTTTATAATTATTTAATCAATAATTTTGATAAAAAAGATGATGATGATAATAATAGTGACAATGATTTATCTGCTGATACAAATACAATAACAATGACAAGTTCAACAAGTAGTGATAGTGCCATTGCATCGGATGATATCGATGATATTGATTTAATCAATGATAAACAACAATATTCATGGCCAGATATGTTTCAAGAAGCTCAATCAGCACTCATGAATTTTTCACAATCATTTAATTTATTACAACAATATAAACATCAATCGATTTATGATAATGAAATAGTCATATCAAAATATAAACAACCATTACCATGGAAAAATTCAACCTATTATAATCATATATATTCTGATAAGGTTCAGAAATGAATTTTGTTATTTTTCTTTTTTTTTTTAAATAACATAATTTTCAAAAAATATTTTATCATAGAAAGAATAAAAACAAAACAATAAAATTTTTATTGTTTTTTAGGATTATGTTACACTTGTTCGTGAATTAGCACAATTACGTGAACAATTAACTGAAAAAGAAGATGAAGTAACAGAACTTAAAGCTGAACGAAATAATACACGTGTAAATAAATAAAATTGAACTATTTGTTTTTTTTTTTTTTTTTTAGAATTCTTAAGATTTATATATTTAATTTTATTTAGTTACTTCTGGAACATTTAGAACAACTTGTTGCTCGACATGAACGTTCAATACGAACAACAGTTATGCGTAGACAAGCTCAAGGTGTTTCATCGGAAGTTGAAGTACTTAAAGCACTTAAATCTTTATTTGAACATCATAAAGCATTAGATGAAAAAGTAAAGCTTCTTCTTTTTTTTTTATTCTCAAATAATATTAATTAAAAACAAAAAAAAAAAAAAAAAACTTTCTTTTTTCTTTTTCTCAAGGTACGAGAACGTCTAAAAATTGAAATTGAAAAAAATATACAACTTAAAGATGAACTTGAACGAACAAAAACTGAAGTAAGATTATAGAAATCAATCATTTAAGATATGTAATTAGTCAAAAAAAAAAGAAACAACAACAAGATTTATTATTTCTATACGATAGAATAGATAACATATCATCATAGAGAAAACTTATCCATTGATATGTCTCTATTTTGTCGTATTGAATGTAAATATATATATATATTCTAATTTGTTTTTATTTTTGATAATACAAATAATGATTATATTATTATATTCACACATCGATCAATAGTCATACAAAATATCTATTTATAAATTTTCACTGAGTTTTTATCAACAATAACAAAAATATAGAAACAAAATGACCTTGATTATTTGTTGAGTTTGGCTTTAATAGACAAATAAGAATATGATCCATTATGTGTTACCACTAATGTTGTCCCTAATGAAAACGGTTTTTTTGATTTTGATTTTCACACTTTTAGAAAGGATTCGTCAAATGATTGCTAGTGTCAAACCCTATTCATCATTTGATTCGATGACAACTAGAAATATATGCTTTTTTTTTCTTTTTATATAGTTCGGTCCTGTTGAGTCTAGTTTGATCCCAATTTCAGAAAAATCTATTTAAGAATTTATTCGCAATCAATTCTAAAGAAATGTTAAGGCCTCCCCCCCCCTCAAAAAAAGTCAATTTTCGTCAAAAATTTCGAAATTGAGATAAATGCATGGGAAGATAGCCCATCTTCAGATCTTTCAGATTTGATATGTTTTTTTTATCCAACATCCCTTTTTTGTCCGAAAATTTTGATAGTTTCTGTAACCAGCTGCATGAAAAATATGATTTTTTTGGAAAAAACGGATTTTGAGGTTTTTGCATGGAAAATAAGTACTTTAATGGAAACTAGAGACGTTTTAACAAGTTTTATTGATCGTTATAGAAAAAACAAAATTCATAAAACAATAAATGAGAAACAGACTGACTGATAGAAAAGAAGAAAGCTTTATTTAAAAAAAACTTGGATCTGACAAGGTTCACATAAAAAAATTGTTTAATAAACTGTTATTTATTCTTCTTCTTTCCATCTTCTTCTGTCTTTTGGATTATAATAACCATATTCGTCATCACTAGTTTCATCATTCTTCTCAACATCTTCATTAGTTCTCGTATCAGGACTAAGAATTGTTTTATCATCACTATCATTGGATGATTCATCACTACTTGATGTTGTATCATTATCATCGGTAATACTTTCATCATTATCAATAATTGTTTCATTATCTTGAGTTGTTGGTTGATCACTAGGATTTGTTTCATTATAATCATCATCTGCTTCATCATCATCTATTGTTTTATCATCATTACCAGATGCATTATTATTATTTGTTTGACCATTATCAACATTTTTTTGTACATCACGACCAGCTTCTTTTCTTGTTTTTCTATTACTTGCTTTTGATTCAGAGTGGAGACGACTGTTGTCAAAGTGAATCATTGCTTGATTGGTGTAATAACCACGATAACCGCACATGTTGTTGAAAAGATCTCCTGTGAAAAACCAAAAGACATTATTAGTTTTATATGTATCAAACATTTTAATTATAATTAAAACAACCTGCGAAAATATTTGTATTCTCTTACCTAATGCAAAATATCCATCATTAAATATTATTATTGCAAGATGACAAGCAATTTCAAATATTGTCCCAGATGTTGTTTTGTGTTTTGGTGACATAAGCCAGACAAGCGAATGAAAACCTTCGTTTGGATTTTGACTTGATGCATCAAGTACACGTTCAAGACTTTTCCGAGAACAGAGGTTGTCAAAAACAGGCTTGATGGCATCAAGGACGGGACGAGGTAAAGCATGTGGTGTATGATCATATGATGTTCCATCACGAGCAGCTTTTAAATAACCACACCAATCGATGCTGCAAGAATCATGACGAGGATCATCATTGGTCGAATATTTATGCCAAAATATAGCCCACGATCGCTTGAATAACAAATCTAGATCGTGTTTGCATTTTCGAATGGTCGAAGCAAATGCCATTTGTAACCGGATAACATTTTGTTCTAAAACAAAAAAAACATTCAGATTTTACCATTTGTTTCATTTTCAAAATTTTTTCATGTCTCAAAAAGACTTACCGGAAAGACGATTTTTACCACCAATAGTTTTACCATCAGATAATTGTTTTTTTCCATATTCACGTTTTTTTTGTTTCCAGTTGACGTTTCATTCTTTTGCTAAAATGATTCAAGTCTTCGATTTTCCTGATCACTTTTCCTAAAAAGACAAAACTATTGATGGTGCTTCAAACGCAATAATTTTTTGAAATAAAATAAATTATATTATACCTGGATATAGCGGTTTGTTAGAAAGAGTAGCAAATGTTTTTGAATCACCATCACCAACATACTTTGTGTAATAAATTTCATATTTGGAAACTGATCGTTGGAACATGTTAAGAACAGCATCAGCTTCTATTGTGCCCGAACTTTTGTTGTAGTTTTTTTCACAATGATGTGATCTAATAACATCATTGTATTTAGCTGGATTAGATTTCTTAATAGCAAGTGCACCTGCAAAAAAAAGATTCAATCAAGAAAACAACAAAAAAAGAAACTCACCCATACAAACATTACATGTTTTACTACATGTTTCAATATCAAGTACTTTTGGTGTTGTGTTACAAGAAATAAGAGCTGCTGCACCATGTCTACTTTGAAAACCTCGAGTCTGCCAAAATCCATCTCCACTAACCATTAGTTCTCGACCATTTGCAGCAGTCACAGCTTCTTCAACAGCTTTTTTCATTGACCGATCCGAAAATGATTTTACGGAAACTAATAAATCTTTATCCCATTTGGAATATCTTTCATCTTGAATTGTACTTGGTAAATTCATAGCACCCATTAATTTTACTAATCCAGCATGTCTAATACCACACAAATGGCCACCAATTTGTGATCGAACATTAATATCTCGACGATCTGATCCAACAACCTTCGGACTTGTTTCTGAAAACATTAGAAATGTTGCATACATTAATAATATTCAAAGCTTCGACAGTTGGAAGTAGTTACTTACCAATGGTGATGATATTTGTACATGATGAACATTGAAAAGATAAAATCACAAATAAACCTTCGCGTTTGTTGATGTTAATTGTTCCGTTCCAACGATTTCCGCAACCTTCACAATTCGTCTTGCACATAAGAGTAAATAACACTTGATTTTGCAAGATCGTGTATCCATCCATAGGTACATTTGAATTTGCTGATGTTGATGTTATATTCAATTTTGTTCTTTTCATAATCTTCTGTTGTGATGGTAAAGATGAACGTTTTGAAGATGTGGACAGATTTGATATTGTTGTTTGTATTGTCGATGCGGTATTCGATTGTGGTGATGATGCTTGAATTGGTCGTATATTATTGCGAATACGTCTTTTTGTTATGGTGCTTGTACTACATCTAGTAAAAAGACTTTTTATTATGAGGAAAAGGAATTTCAAATTAGATTTTTTATCTCCCTTTCTAGATAAACCGGAAAAACATTCAATCGTTTTAGGGATAGAATAATTTCATTGACTAATAGTATAAGAAAAAAAAAGTTTCATCGAACGCACATACCGTTTTGTTTTTTTCTTGTTAGCCATAATGTTTGAAACCAACACGTTTTAATATAAAATCGTAATACAAAGATAAATGTATAATCTAAACAAATGAAATATTATACTAAAGTCTAGATATATTCTTTTCTTTTTTAAAACCACACACATACATAGAGGGAGCAACAAACTGGCACGCCTCTCTGTATATGTTATAAAGGTAGTTGACCACTAACTAGTTTTTAGTTAGAGAGAAGTATTATCTTATCGCGTATACAATATACTGAACTATTCTTAAAATCAACGCGTATATATGTGCACTCACGTATGACAACAGAACGAAAGAAGATATAGATGGAATATATATATATGCACTCGCGTATGACAACAGAGCGAAAAAAGATATGGATGGAATACATATACATGACGTCATGGTAAGGACAGAAAAGACAGAGATGATGTACAAACGATGACGTCAGAATAATGACCGAAGGGCAGAGTTTAGTACAGCCCCCAACTTGTTATAGACTTTCCTCATCACTAGACAACCTGGTCTCATCTCAAAAGAAAACTGGTTTATGGTATGCCACATGATCATTTAGCAGATCATTTATGCGAATATTTATACAGAAGAGAAGTAAAAATAAAAAACTCGATCCTTTTGTGTCTTTTATTGATGCTATAAAAGCTGTTTATAATCCTTATGAAAACTAAATAAAATAAAATGATTATTTAAACTCATTTCGTTTTATTACTTTTTAGTACTTCCACACGGCGTCCATCCTATTTGATTATAATATAGAATATTTGTCATATCTATCATATATAACAATGACCAGAAAGAAAAAAATTTAATTGGTTCATACATTCACCCTTTATATATATATAAATAGATGGCGCGTCTTTTAGAAGTGCCTATTTTTCTATTTAGCTTCATTTGGAATTTTGGCTGATTGCTTTCGATTCACAACGAAATGAAGTGTTAATAGAGTAGGAATAAAATCAATGAAAATGTGTTAGGGGTTGGTTTCTATAGTGGGGGGCTATACTAAACTCTGCCCTCATAACAATCCGCCAATTGTTACGATAAAAAGAGGGCTGAGATAGCTCATAATTAATTTTATTAGAACATTTTCGAGTAAGCCCATAATGTTTTTTGTCCTGCATAATAAAATTATTTATTTAGTGAAGCTCAACAAGCGCCAAAAGAAGGTTATTTGTGCATAGTTCTAAAAGATAAAGGACAGTTGGTAATTATTCTATTCAAATCTACCGAAAAAGTGCCTACAAATGCTAAAATATCGTAAAATTTTTTTCCAAAAAATGTTTTTCGCTTTTTCTCAGTTCATATTTTCTCAAATGCGCAAGCAAGATTTCTCTGTCCGGGCTCTTTCAATATATTTAAATTTTTTTTTTGTTTGAAAGAGCATGTTCAAATGCAGGGCACCAAAGGGCCCTTTTTTTGAAATAAGCCTTTTTATTATTGTATAAGAAAACATGTCTATAGAAAAATAGCCATTTTTTGTGATCTTTTGGAGTCATTGAACTTGTGATGCCCTTTTTTCGCTTGAAAAGTAAGTATTTAAAAAAAAGAACTCTTTGGTGCCCTGCATCTTGAGATACTCTTTCAAACAAAAAAAAATTTTAAAATATTGAAAGAGCTCGGACAGAGAAATCTTGCTTGCCAAATGTGCTATTTTTGACCCTTGTTTGGTTCATATCTCTGTCAAATGTCAGTAAATCGAGCTGAAAATTTTACTACAGCCTCCTCACTTCAGCCCCAACATATGCTCCAAATTTCAGCCCATTTGAACGTTCCGGAGCTGAGATCGATTTTTGAGGGGGGGGGAGGCCTTAAATAGTCATGTTTTTGAGTAATTCAACCGAAAAGAATGTCACTTGTTTTTGTTCAGCTCTTATGATTTTTATTTTGATTGATGCATTTTATAAAATATAATTCGCTAAAAAATCGTATACAACTTACCTACATGTTTTTTTTTCTCTCGTAGCTTCGAAGTCCGTATATCTCTACATGTTGATCGATTAGATACTTTATTGTAATGTAGCATTTTATTTTATAGAGATTTAGTTAAAAATTCAAGAAACGAATTATGATTAGTTTCATTTTTGAATTTTGTCAAATGTCAACGATTCAAAGTTTGAATAAAAGATTTTTTTAACCTTTTTTTTTTATTTTCGTCACGGTTGAATACAACTTGTCAAATCATATATACAATGTTATTTTTGTTTTATTTCGACGATGTTTTTCTAGTGAAACTTAGAATAAAAAAAAAACAATCAGACAAGTCTAAAAATAGAAATATGCCGAAAGCATCAAATCTTGATAGTTTCAAAGTTTTTTTTTTTTTTGTGGTTTGATTCATCATATAGTATTAGAAAAAGAAACACTACGAATACCTTTTCGAAAAAAAAAAAAGTTCTTTCATTATTAAGCAAATCGATTTACTTCGGTATGATACCTATGTGATTCAAACTGGATAAAAACTGCTGGTGGTAGTGCGACATGGGTAGCAACGCGTCAAAAATACAGGTTGGTATTCAGAATCAATAGAAATCTTAAATTTCGATCGAATATACTATTTAATACAGGCTTATTTTTTAACAATGATATTTTGTAACTATATCGAAAAAATCGATTTGTACAATAATGCAACAATGTTTTTCAAATATTATGCATGATTTGTTTTTCATAACTGTATGATGAATAAAATCACAAAAAAAGAAAGAAGAATATTGAAAATATCGAGCCTTGATGCGCTCTCGGTGTATTTCTATTTTTTTTCTTTATAGACTTTTGTAATTCGCTTAACTTAAGTTTCACTACTAAAACATGGCATGAATAAGTCAAAAAAACAACATATTTATAGTTAACTCACCGAACTTTATCTAATCATGGTAAAAAAAAAAAGCGTTGCTCAAATTTCGAATTGCGTGCACTATCACCTACTCTTATTTCACTTATATCATATAGTATTATTCGATACACACTCCATAATTGTATTTACCTATAATTATGGGTACTACTATTCATCAGGTTTAATAAATAGGTACTATATTAATAGTAGATCTTAATTTATGCATAATCACTATCGTTTTGAGCTATTTATTTATAATAATATTTAATTAATTCAGAGAATTTCTTTCTTTTAATGATGTGAGAAATTAAATCTCATTTAATTTGATAATTAGTTAATCTTAAATCATTTCAATTAAATCCAATACATGTGTGGCTTTTGACACACCCACACCCACACTCTATATATATGTCATCTTAATATTCTCCACATGTTTCTTTATTTAACTCTCTATAATAGTAGAAGATTTCCGAGTTATCTATTAGACGATATTATTTTTTAAATAATAATTAATTGACAAAACAAGCGTATGAAATCATGAAAGGTTATAAGAATATTTTCAGATTCAAAATAAATCTCAATGTAGAAATGGCTGGAATAGGTAGAATTTGTTACGTTTAAAATTTTCGGATCCACATCTGCTTATCGCGTCCAAAGTTTTCCGAACCTAGTCTGCGTCCGGAACTAAACAAAAAATTTGGACTAGTGTCTTAATCTTTTCATGAATTTCTTCTTAAATCTTATATAGATATAAATTCTTTTGTTTTTTTTTTGTAGCTTGCTTGTGTTCGTGAAACTCAACAATCGAAAATAATTGATATTGAACAATTAAAAGTAAAATTATTTTGTTTTATATTTAATTTAATTATTTCTTGTTTTTTTTTGCTTTAGAGTATGTCAAATGGTACAATTAATTCTGATTATTTAACTAGTAAATTAATTGAAATGCAAGAATTAATGGATCATCAATGTAATGAATTAATATCAGCACGTTCACGTATACATGAATTAATAAATCGTAATAAAGAATTAGAAGAACGTTCATGTTTATTTCAACGTGATTTATCACATACATATGAACAAATAAATAAATATCAACGTGATTTAAAAGAATCTCAAGCACAAAAAGAAGATCAAGAAGAACGTATATCAACATTAGAAAAACGTTATTTAAATATACAAAAAGAAACAACACATTTAAATGAATTTAATAATCGATTAGAAAATGAATTATCTACAAAAGAAACACAATTACAACATGTAGATTCTTTTTTTTTTTTGTTTTTTTCTTATTTCTATAGAAATCAATAATAGATATATATGTATATATTTTTGTTAAAGGCTGAAGAAAAACATCAAGCATTACAAGATAAATATGATTTATTAGAACAAAAATTTCAATATCAAAATGAAATTGATTTATCATCAAAACAAAATGGTCAAATATTAACACCATATTCAACTAATGAAGATAAATTACATCAACTTCAAAATGAATATGATGATCTACAAATAGAATTAACACGAGTAATATATTTTTCTTTTCTCGACCTATGTAGAAATGTTATAGTCTACATTTCTAAATGCAATCTAATTTAGCGAAACTAATATCATTATCTGATAGGATAATCTTGAAAGCATATGAAAATCTAGTTGTTATTTATATCAATCTATATATCATAAAGAAAAACAAATCCTGTAAAGAAATATCTGTTGTCATAGCTGAGTGACTACGTTGTATAACTGATCCATTATTTTCGAATTTGGTCTATATGTATTATGCAAATATTAATGTACGATGAATACCTTGAAAAACAGTTAAGTCACTTAGCCCTTTAATCAAAAAGCAAGACACTTCTGATTCTACGAATGAGAGCACTAACAGAACTTTTCTACACTCTATTAAAAATAACTAATTGGCGTTTCAGTTTAGTTGAAAGAGCGTGACGAAGTTACTTTGTGCAAAAAAAGGAAATATAGAATTCTCGTTTTTCTCTTATGTTATTATTTTTGATATATGGGTCATGTCAAGTAGAATGGAACATATTCACCTTTCATTTGACTTCGATACTTTATAAGAATTGTTTTTTTTTTTCAAAATAATTTCTTTTAGCATAGAAATATGTAAAAAATATTGACTCTCTCAGCTGACTATCAATGAAAAAGTAATTAGTGAATATTTCTTTAATTATGCGAAAGAAGAAAAAAAAAAGACCTAGAATTTTTGACACTAAAATCCATGAAATGAAAATTGATATCCTTTTTACTAATAATTTCTTTAAATAAAAATCTCTAGATCAAATTTTCTGAGAGTTTCTAGTACAATTTAACATATAACAATTAGCTCTAGAAAAGTTCATTATTCCGAGATACACGTATTTTACTAAAGAATGATTTTGTCCATATGTTTACATAGAGTAGATTTTTAAAACTTACTATCTAGTTCTCAGGTTTATTTATGATAGATTCAAGTTGTTTTTACTATAGAAGGCTAATGAAACATGTTCTGTTGTCAACTCCGAGATATAAATGGTGTAATCTTCTATACGTTATACCTTGAATAAAGCTTGTTGGATCTAAAATTTTCGGATCCGGACTCAAATCTGTTTTTTTTTTTTTGAAAGAATATTTATTTTTTGTCTTTGAAGGCTCGTCAACGTGAAAAAGTAACTGAAGAACATAATATTCGTTTATCAGCAACAGTTGATAAATTACTTGCTGAATCTAATGAACGTTTACAAATACAATTAAAAGAACGTATGCAATTATTAGAAGAAAAAAATAATTTCACACAAGAAAATGAAAAATTAAAAAAACAATTAGATGAAATACAAAATGAACGAGTAAATTAATTTATCTTTTATGATTATTTATTTTTGTCTGTATTTTTTTCTTTAAGACAAAATTTTTAGAAGAAATTGATAAACTTAAAAATGAACTTGATTATGTTCGACGAGAATTACAAAATATAAAACAACAAAAAACGTAAATAATTTTTTTTTTGTTTTTTGCTTAAATGATCGGTGTTTTTTTTCTTTTAATGTTTTAGTGAAACAATTTTAAATTCTTCTCAAAATAATTTTAATAGTACTTCACAATCTATTCCAATTATAATAGATACATCAAATAGACGTAGAAATATGACAACACCAATTGTTAATGATCATATATTACAAGTAGGACAATTAAAAATAAGGATTAATTTATCATCAATAGTTTAGATTTATTTTCTATTTTTTAAAATATTGAATAATTGTCTTTGATTATGACGTTGATCTTATAGAATAGGGAATTTAATTCTCTACAGATATGTTTTATGTCAGCGTAAACTTTATGAAATTAATATTATATTGTATTGCAAAACTAAGACGTTCAATTTTCCTGTAGATACAGAAAAAGACTTACTTACGTGCTTATGAAAATCAATGTTAGTCGAAAAGTATTGCACATGAAAAGATAGAAAATTGTTTGCTCTCTACATGTTGACGACCTTAACGTGAAGTGTCCTACAAACCAGAAGATAAATCAAATTTTGAATTCCAAATCAATTAAATAATTTTTTTTGTTGTTATATGAATATATTCTTATCTTAATAGGTATCTGAAGCTGATTGGGATACAATTGATCAAGCTCAAGTAATAAATGATGTTCGTTTAGCATTTGAATCTTCTGATGTTGAATTAACAACTGATGATGATGATAGTTTATATCAACATCAACATCCGGTGATAATAAATAATGATTCAACACATCATCATAATGGTGATGCTCAAACATTAGCACTTGTTTTACAAGAACAACTTGATGCTATTAATAATGAAATACGAATGATTCAAGCTGAAAAAGTTGATACTGAATTACGTGCTGAAGAACTTGAATCACGTGTTGTTGGAAATTCAATTTATCATTTACATAATGAAAATGATAATGATAAAAATAATGAAAATACAAATCATAAATTAAATTCACAATATCATTCAATATCAATAACAAATGGAAATATAAATCATTATAATAAAAATTTAATACAAAATTCATTATCAACAATAAAATCAAATATAAATACAAATTATATTGGACGTTCATCATCACATACAACATCAATATCACCAAATGGAAAAACTTATAAAGTTAATACTGTAAAATTATCAGTATTTAATTTTTTTCTTTTTAAATAAAACTTCTTTTATTTATTTTTATAGACGTCTTCTAATATGTCAACATCAAATATGTATCCATTAGATTCTAATGTAAGCTGTACTCTTAATATTATTTGTTTTATTTATTTTGAATAATTTTTAGGATTATGATCAAACAATGCATCGTCAATCACCACGTTCATTTCATAATGATTATAGTACAATAACACGTTATGAAAAATGTGAATCAAGTCCATCAATAACACCAGCACGAGTAACAACAAATATACGTACAGCTACACCACATCATGTTTATCATTCATCTTCAAGTATTCAAAATCAATATAGAATTAGTACAGCACCATCAAGAACAAATATACAACATAATGATGATAATACAAAACATTATGTGTAAGAATATAATTAATCTATTTCAATATCATATATAATAACAATTAAAAATTGTCTGTATTTCTTCACTTGTCGATGTTTCTCGAGAAGGAATTATTAGAAAAATTTGAAATTTTCAAGGCAGATAGATCTTAAGGAGTATAGTAATAGACTCAAAGTTTTCAGATATTAGCATCACAATGGTCTGCGTTTCTCTCAGACGCTATGTTCGAGCATGCTGAACATTTTTGTTTTTTTACCAAATTATCTTTGCTAAGATATTAACATTTTAAAGAAACTATTATGTTTTGTTCTGTGTATAAGTTATTGTAAGACTTATCTATAGATAATAATTTCATACTCAATATTCGATCATTCAAATTTTCATATAGCAAAAATCGAAGATCGAAAAACTTAAACATACTAGAAATTTTTATCATCGATTGAGTGACAATAATCTTATGTAAATTTTTAATCTTAAATTTTATTATAGTTCAAATCCGTCCACATTTCAACCAACATCAATATCATCTGTAGTTAATCAAGATTCTCCAAGTCCAATAAGTTCTCAAAATTCAACATCAGGTGATGATAATAGTATCTATAGTCGAAATCAACAACAACAACAACAGCAACAACAAAAAAAGAAAGGTATTCGAAATTCAATTGGACGTTTATTTACACGTAAACCTGATCTTATTGATAATAAACCAATACATGAAAATATTCATTCAATATCTTATATTTCTCGTGGTAAATATTTCATTCGAACAAAAAAAATAAATAATCTATTTCTTTTTTTAATATTTAGCATCATCTGTACCAGTTGATAATGAAATGACAGAATCAACAACTGGTACATTACTTAGTTTAGGTAAAACTGAATTTGATCGACGTATTAAAAAAAAGTAAATCAAACAAAAAATCATTTATTTAATATGAAATTAATATTTTTCATTTTTAGACAAGAATTACTTGAAGATGCAATACAAAATAATCGATCATTTCCAACATGGGATGGTGCAACTGTTGTTGCTTGGCTTGAAGTTTGTATTTAATCATCATTGATTTCTTTGATTTTTATTTTTTTGTTTTAAAGTTATGGGTTAAAATGCCAGCATGGTATGTAGCTGCATGTCGTGCTAATGTTAAATCAGGTGCAATTATGTCTGAATTAAATGATGAAGAAATTCAACGACAAATTGGTATTAGTAATCCATTACATCGACTTAAATTACGATTAGCTATACAAGAAATATTAAATTTAACATCACCAAATGGACCTCGAACATCTGTAACAGTAAGTTTTTAAAATTTGGCAAAAAAAAAAATCTTTCTCTTTTTGTTATTTTTTTTTTTTGATTTTGTAGTCATTAGCTTTTGGTGAAATGAATCATGAATGGATTGGTAATGAATGGTTACCAAGTTTAGGTTTACCACAATATCGTACAAATTTTATGGAATGTCTTGTCGATGCAAGAATGCTTGAACATTTAAATAAAAAAGATTTAAATAAACAATTAAAAATGGTTGATAGTTTTCATCGGTAATTATTTTAATCAATTTTATTTTTAAAAACATAAAAACAAAAAAAAATTTATTTAGTACAAGTTTTCATTATGGTATTATGGTATTAAAACGTATAAATTATGATAAAAAAGAACTTGATCGAAGACATGAAGAATCATTAAATGAAAATCGTGATGTTATTATATGGACTAATGAAAGAGTTATTCAATGGTTAACAACAATTAATGGTTTAAAAGAATATGCTAATAATTTAATAGAATCTGGAATACATGGTGGACTTATTGCACTTGATGAAACATTTGATTATAATGCATTAGCATTAGCTTTACAAATACCAAATCAACAAACATTAGTAAGAAATAATTGATTTTTAAAACGTTAAAAAATTTAAAAATTGAATTATACATATATTCATACTAAGAGAAAAAAACCATAAATATTTTTACAATAAAAAAATTACTTTAATACGATAGTGTAACATTTAATATTGGTAAATAAATTCATTTATATTTTTCGACACATATACTCACATCAGTTTGAGCATTTGTATTGATTTATTCTATCATCTTTGTCTGTATTAGTTATGAGCAAGATGATCACGGTATCGGACGTAAATTTTTTCGACTAGGATAGGAACCGAAATCTAAAATAACTGATCCTGTTTCAAGTCTAGCTGATATTTATTATTTTGTGTTGTTTTAATAAAGGTTATCTCGATGTTTCTCATTGCTATTCGCCGTCAAAATAATAACAATATGCATGAACTATTTTGTATTTCTGCTTCTTTGCAACAAACCTATGAAAAGTTAGAATACGTCCTAAAGTCAATGTTGACAATTGAAAGTTACGTTCATTAATGATTTTACTAATGAAAGCAAGAAGTTTTGAATATTCCTCTGTCATTAATAAAAACATCAGGTTAATACCGTCGAGCATAATGCGTTTATTCAAATTTTTATTGTATAAAATACTTATGAGTTATCCTATATAAAATAAAAATAATCTATATTTAAAAAATGATTGATAGTCTGTTGCATCTACAACTTTGTGAAATAAAGTAAGATTTTAGACAATATTTTCTTATATTCGGACTTTAAATTTAATAATCGATCCTTTGCTTTACAAAACAAAAAAACAGAATTGCAATAATTATAGAAATGATTGTCTATGTTTAGTTTCGAATAAAATTTTTTTGATTATCATTCATGATAAATCTCTTTTTTCCAAATACTTACTACTAATGAACTTATGAAACAATATCTTATTTCTTATCTACTTATTTTATTCAAAAATACTATACGTTTTTGATTCTATTTGACTGTAGTAAATAAAGATATTATCAATTTTAATGTATTATTCTTTTACATTTAGACACGTCAGATTCTTGAACGAGAATTTCGTATTCTAATTGCAAATGGTACAGATCGAAAAATGGATGAAGTAAGTTGAAAACTTTTCAATTGAAATAAAAAAAAAAACAATCAAATGTTTGACAAAAAAATGGATCTTATGGTGTTTTTTGTTTTCAGTCATAATTCAAAGGGGTAAAATAATACAACAGTATGTGTGTCTTGTATGTCACTATGCTTTTATCCCAATTGATTAGTAAAGGGCGAAGAAAAAAAAGCGGCTTGTGTTATTGCTTTTCCTTTTTTGTTTTTTGATATTGTCTTAAAAGTAAAAGAAACTTACTATGGTTATGTTTTTTTTTTATTATTATCCATTTGTAATCGAATATATATTACATATATATAATTTCATTGATAATATTGTTTTTTTTTTTAGAATGATCGAGCAAAATTAAAACGTCATCCATCATTATTTGCAAGAAAATTAAAATTCAAACCAATCAATGGAGATTTAACAACTCATAATGGAACTGATGCATCCATAACTATTCAAAATGATGAATCATAAAATTGATTAGATTGTTTTTTTTAAATGCATTTGTTCAGATGTGTGGAATTATTGTTTTCTTTTTCTCATAACATCGAATATCTCAACTTGTGTGTGTGTGTGTGTCAAAATTTTGTTTTTCTTATATAGATTTGCGCGATTACTGTCTTATAAATATCTATTTTTTATTAATAATAAGCACATATGTTTGGATTTTTTCGCACTTGAGTGTGTGTGTGTGTTTGAACTAAAGGTTTTGTCGCATTTTTTTTTCTCGGATGGTTATGCAATAAATTATAACTTGATTATTGATCATGTTTTGTAACTCTATGGATGCAGACACACGTTAGACATGTAGTTTCAATGCTTTTATTTTGTGTCTGTTTCAAAATCGAAACAAATCATTTCCATCAAATTCTACTTGATGTCCATAACTAGCATGTATTTTTCTTTTGTTATTCTTGTGCAGATGATAGAAACATAAATGATTATTTTAAATGCGTCCTAATACAATTTTCATTTTGTTTTGTTTCTCTATAAATATATATATATATATCTTTTCTTACTCTTCCTTTATTTCTCTTAATATTCTTTGTTTTTGGTCATAATATTTTTATTATTGATCTCATTTTCGTTCTTAATATGTTTGTTTGTTTCTTTAAAATTAAATTGAATTGTTGATGAACTGCGTATTCTATATAGCTTTATTTACATTGCTGACGAACATAACTTTGTTTTGTATGTTATTAACAAAAACTAAATGTGTGAAATACTCTTCGATTTTTTGTTTATTCGATGATTGTTGTGTGTATTTTTGTTTTTTTGTATATTGCTCTAATTGTTTTGTTTAAGAGCATAATTGGAATTTGAAAACATTCTAAAACAACAATCGACGTTTCATTGATCTATATATTTGTAGGTCGAATCGTTTGATATTCAGCTGATTGTATATTGTTCATCATGAAAAGGCATTGATGATATTATGTTAGTATGCTACTCATCAGATTTTACGATAACAAATGCATCAAGGTTATTATCCAAATCGAAAACTTTTAGATTTAAAATTCCTTTTGCTCTATTAAAGTATTTTTCACTGTTAACATTCCATTATGTCATAGAATGTTGAGTCTATGATAAATTTTGCTTTACTCATTGAAACCTATATGTCTAATGAAAGTCAACTCATTCCAAATAAAATATCTCAATTGTTAACAATAAATATATTTCATTCATGCATTTATCATACTAGATAAATACTATACATAGCACAAACTCTTTATTGTTAGATTTCCTGTTTAAATAGAAAATCAATATCGACATTTTTTGTAGTAAATCATATCTATCTATTGAATACTTTATGTTTGTAATATAAACGAAGATTTTAAAACTATAAAATTTTAATCTTTTATTAGATTAATATAGAAATAAAAACATAAAAGACCCAAGAAAGATAATTTATACAAGTGATGCATCCGTTGAAATACAAGGTGTATTCATTTTGTCAATATATCGTCTTGGTACATCATATTTAGGTGATGTTGATTGACGATTAGGAAATTCATGTATACGATACTGTTCATTTAATTCATTCGTAGAAATAATTGTTGATTCAAATTGTAGATGATTTTCAGATACATTTGAACTTCCTGAATAACCTTCATCATCACGTAATGGACTTAATGATGAAAGTGGTGGTGATGATTTTTGTACTAAATAAATTGCTGTACTTGTTTGTGATGATGATAATTCATGATCATCATATACTTTTAATTTTGAAATAGTTGAAACTACATCAGATTCTTTAAAAAAGAAAAAAAGAAATATTATGATGTAATAATAAAGTAAAAAAAAAAGGTGTTTAGTTAAATCTTTAATGCATATATAAAAAGAGAAGAGTAAATCAACTCTTTTGTTGTTTCGGATTCATCAATTGATATGATGTAGAAAAAAGAAAGTGCACTTACTATTAGAATTACTCTTATCATGTACACTATTGCTATTGATTGATAATGATGATGTTTCCTAAAACAAAAGGAAAAAAGTTGTTAGCACATTTTCTATGGAATAAAAATGTAAAATACTATGTATCTGTTGTCGCTAGTTACAGAAAAATTGTTTTATTCTTTGTGTTTTGGGACACATTTTTTCAACATTATTTTACTTAATTCTCAACAAATGCAATAAAGAAGTTGTTTATATATTATAACAAGACGTCATTGATATATAAATAGTCTTTGATCATATATTTCGGTTCGATATGGTCTACATGGAGGTCCACATTTTTAAGCCTTTACTTCAACAATCTCCTTTAGATAGTGTTTTACAAAAAAAAATTCACTCAACATATTAGCATACTTTTCATTTCAATCGGAAGAACTTGTCTCTATAAAACTGAAAGTCCATCCACAATCGATTGAACTAAAATACTTTGGGTACTCTTTCTCGGTGAATTTACTGATATTAGAAGTTGTACTTTATATTTTCTTCAACTTTGTGAAGATCGAGAAGAGAGCTATGAGTTGAAAGGTTTTTAACTAAAATAACATTCGAATATATTGAACACGCTTCTTATCTAATTAATAATGATGCTTATACTTGTGATTATGATTTTAGTGGAAGAATTGAAGATTAGACTGTTAGTATGTATATACATAGAGAGAATTTTTACTTGAGTTTTCGATATATTTTTGGTATGTACTATGTCTACAACATTGGCCTATTCTTGTTTTTAAAATTGTTAAGATCAAGAAATGTTTCTTGTTTGTAATTTCGTACGCTCTAGAAACAATCGATTTAATCGAATTTTTGCTGACTGTTTATAGATAATGTTGATATTTTATTTAGCATATAAAAACATATAAAATAATACATTATATATATTTTATGTTTTATATATTCAAAATTGTTATGCACTTTTGTTGATGACTTAGCTTAATACTTGAATCTTAACTTGATCTTTTCTATTTGAATTCTAAATTTCTCAATGATATTTGTTTTAAAACTTTATTATTGTATTGAATTGCTAATTATAAACAAAGTTTGTATTTGTTCAGATTATTACTCTCAAAATCGGAATGAGGAGTAACATTTTCTGTGTTAGATTTAAATCGATATTTCATAAGTGAAGATAAAAATTCTAATGAGCTCCGAAAATGAAAATCATTATACATTAAATCCTCACCTTTTTACCATAACATAATTGATTAAATTTATAACGTTTTTGTTTGATAATAATAATAAGACTAATGATTGTCCCAAGAACGAACAAAACACAAATGATGGTCGGTATGATAATAATCCATGGTGAATGTCTAAAGGTTAGTAGACGTTCTTGTTCTTTAAGTTCAAGTAAAAATGTATCTTGATGATTTATTTGTTGTTCAAGTTCAATATTGAATAAATATTGACCTAAAGGTGGTTTCATTAATGATATAATTGTACAATTAGATAAAAGTTGAAAATAATTTTCAATAACTATTTGTGATCGACATAATGTTGAATTAAATATATGTACAAATGAAAATTTATTTTGATTCATAATCATATATTTATTTATTAGAAATGGAATATTTCCATATTGATCAAGTATTCGTACAATAATATTTATTTTAATATAATTATTAACAAATAGATTAATAAAATAAATACTTTGTTTAGTTCGATTAAATTTTTTTAATGTATATAAATCACCTGTATATGAATCAATATAAAAATTTTTTGTATTATCAATTGTATAAATAATATTTCGACAAAATTTATTTGTTATTTTATGCATTAAAAATGTTTTATTTGGTAAATTTTCTTTTATATCAATAATATATGTTTTTTGATTAAATGATAAATTACATAAATATTCATTTGATTTCATATGAAATATATATGTTTGATTTGTACATAATAATGGTTGATCATTATCACAAGAAATTAATAATAAATAATAATTATCTTGATAAATTAATTGTGAATTATTTTTTGTTGATAATATATAAATTAAATTATTTTTATATTCTCGTATTAATTGTATTTGAAAATGTTTTGTATCATTTAAATATAAACTTAAATTATTAGTTGATTGATCTAAATCTTTTATATTTATTGTAGCAAATGGTGTTGATGATGTATTTAAATCATATTTTATTATATTTGATTTATATAAAACAGAAGGATAAATTATTAAATTAATATCTGGTGAATTATCATTAATATTTAATATATGTATTATTAATTCAGCAAAACAAGGTGCAATTGATGATGGTGAACGTGCTTCAGCTGTTAATTTATATATGGATATTGTTTCATAATCAATAGAATTTAATAAAATTAATTCACCTGTAAGAGAATTAAGATAAAATGTTTTATTTGTATCACCATGAAGTTCATATTGAATAGATAATGATGGAGCTGATATAGCTTTTATTAAAGCAATTTTTGAATAAATTTGTGTTGATTCACTTATATATATTTCATAAGAATTACGATCAAAATAAAGATATGTTGCATTAGTAATATAAATTATAAATATAAAACGTATTACAATCATCTATAATAAAATAAAAGTGACAGTTCGATTATTATTTTCTTGTTGAAAATATTTAATAATACAACAACAACTACTTTATATTGATCTGTATGTTAATCGTATGTTTTGTTCATTGACACAAATTATGTGTATTATTGATTAGAAGGAGAAAAAAAATGAGATACTGCCTATTCCAAGAATGATAAACCCAAAACAGAATAACACCTGTATAAAGAAAAAGAAAAAGATATTACTAACTTACGAAATAGACGATAACTATTATTCAAAGATGTACAACGAACTATTTGTCCTATATTCATGAAAGGAATAAATGAACATAACTAATTTCATATAAATGATACATAAGAAAGCTGTTATTATGTTTTTTTTTTCGTATGTACTTCATTGAAATCATATAGTAGCCGATGACATTTAAGTTTATTTTCCTTTCATAATTGATGATAAAGTTATACAACTCAATTTGTAATACATACACATAAAGTTATAACGAACATTAGTCTATCTCTATTCAGTTTAAAATCGAAAGGCGATTGATGTGTCAACTAAGTTATAAATGATCATTTTATGTTTTGTATATCAATCTTATTTTTAAAGAGAGCAAGAAAAATTGACATATACTTATCTTAAATGGCGCCGCTAAACAAAAAAAAAGAGGTTGTTGTGTCTATACCTACCATGTACTGTCAATTAGGCACAATGTTTTTTAAAAGTATAAAGTGTGCATATGACCATGGCACTATTAATAGACGTGATCCTACTCGTACAATTTGTCTTGAACAATGACACGAATAGGATTATGAGTCACTTTGTGTCTATACACTAACGAGACAGAGTAGCAGCTTGCATCTTTTCTTTTCTTTTTTTTTTTCTTTTTCTATTATGAGGACTCCTATTAGAATAATTGTCATAGAAAAGAAAGAGACAAATAAATTTGTTGAATTGTACATTAAAGGCTCAAGAGAAAAAAGACACTCGTAATCTCTTACTGATGGATAATAATGAATAAACCTTGTATATATTTTACAAGTGCACCTATATTCTTCTTTACCTAATGGATAAAATTAAATTTAATATACTTCGATTGACATTGTCAACGATTATTTAATAAAACAAATCAAAGACATTGCCTTAAAACATTATATTGGTTTATTCAGTTGTGATATTGAATTGAAAAAAAAAACAAAAAAAAATATATTAACTACTTTATACAGATGATATGTACAAGCAATTAGATTTTACTTTTTTTATTGTAATGTGAAAAAAATAAGTAGATGATAACTAATTAATAAAATATTCTAAAAAATTTTCTCAAATGAGAAATTTAACGATAAATCTAATCAAATAAAAACATTTGTAAATTTTATTTGTATCAATACATTATACCTACAATGTTTGTTAGGATTATATGATAAACATAACAGATTTAATAACAACAAAAATGTGTAAATGTTTATTATGGCTAATCATTGTTAGTTGGAAATAGAGCAGGAATCCATGTCCTTGAAATCTCTTTAAAAAAAATGGACGATTTATCGAAACGATAATCATGTATTAAAATGTGATAAACCATCGATGGTTTTCAAAATGAATCTTAGTTTAGTAACCCTCATTATATTGACAATAGAATTGATCTCATTCATGTAATTTGGATTTTTATCATTATAGTGCAAATTTCTTAAGAACACTTTAATTCAAATATTGATTGCAAATAAACAAAAAAATACCAGTACAATATGCAGTTGCTCGTAATTGAATGACAACACAATCGAAAAGATATACTAAATAAAATAATATTCATAGATAGATATTGATTATTTGAATTATACTTTTATCTGAAATTACTTCGCACCTAGTCGCATTATTTATCAATCAATTAAATATCTAAAGCAAAAATTAGAATAAAGATCGTAATTAAAAACTACAAATAAAAGGATGACAATGGAAGAGAAGTTTTTCAGTCTTACATTAATCTTAGATTGAAATAATCATCTAAAACTTCCCATGTGATTTGAATCGGACTTGCTATCCTCTAATTGCCATTGTATTGCTGTATATTAGCACACTGTGGGCATTCAAGCAGACTTTATGTGAAATACATCTACTCTGATTCATCGAAAAACATCCCTAAGTAAGGATTAGAAGCATTTTTCATTGTAAGCAAAAAACAAACCAATAAGGAGAAAACATCCCTGAAGAAATCATGTATAATCTGAAACTGCTTTTTTCATCTGATCAATTTGTAACGAAAAAATTTCTCATGTATATGCTTGTGATTCGAAAAGAAAACTCTTTATTGAACGAAACTTCCATAGAATACTCCTTCATTCATGAAATCTATAGCTGAGCTATAAGTTTTCAAGACAAAACTTATTTTTCTCAACATAGAAACATTTTTATTGAAGATTAACCTCATATTTGAAATCAGCATAAAAAACTACACAAAATGGTTTTGTAATTAATTAGTGTTATTAAAAAAACGTCTTTCTACGTAGATATATGTAGTGAGGGTTCCTCACAGGGAAATTGCAACGATATACATGAAGAAAATTTGACATGCAAAAAAACCTGAAGGCAAATATGAATGACATCTATTGAAAGATCAATGAATGTAGATGAAGATGATTTTATATATGTTAGCCTTCTCTCGACACGTAACTATCCAAATTCAACAATACAATTTCAATATTTAAAATTCATCTCTCTAACAATATTATCAAAATTCTTCTTTTAACATCCTCTACTATTATTTCTCCACCTCAATTTTCTACGCATAAAAAAATTTTGTGTCACGTGATATAGCAGATAAGAACACGTTTCTTCACTTAGGTGAAAACAATTTGAGTGCATTTCTATTCATTTTCTCTACATAGGAAAATAAGGTCTTTTTCAGCTAAAAAGAAAGGTCACATATCTGTCTGATTTACGAAAAAATGTATACTGTACGGCTATAAGTACGAACAAACGTATGACATGAATTAAACTACAATAGAAAAATTGAAAGTGGAAAAAAAAACATCTTTTGATATTGACATTCATGCCAAAACTAAATCTTTTTTCTTTTAGTTTCAAGTCACTATGATTATGTTACAACAAAATGAAGAAATTATATTTAGACTCTCAATTATATATCTTGAAATATTTTTCTAATTGATTAATAATTTGTAATTAGTTATTTGAAATCAATGATTGAATATGTCAACAATTTTTGATAATGATATTTGAAAAACAAAAAAACATTTGTTAATGTAGTAAAATTAGTTTATTTTAGTTGTGTTGATTTAAATATTGGAAGAATAAAAAAAGAACTGATTAAACTATTATGATACATTAATCTATTGATGAATAAATTAAAAGCAAAGATTATTTTGTTTTTTTTTGTTGTATTTTTTCAAAAGGTTATATTTTGACATGATATCAATCGGAAATGATTGACTAATATCATTCGTTTGTTTTGAATGTTATAATAAAAATGCATAGGGTCTAGACGATGTGCTTTCAAGTGAAAATATTTATTTTGAATATTTATCGAATCCTATATAATACAAAAAAAGGAACAACTTGAATTCTTAAAGCAGAATATACGTATTTTACATTATGCATAGATGGAAGAACGCTGCCAATGACAAACTAATCAAGTTTCCAACTTAAAAATCAATACGTCAATATATTTCATTAAATTATTATCTACAAATATTCGTATTAGTTTATGAATGTGTGTGCGCTGATTTTCTACAATAGAGCTTTTGTCTATTATTCTTAAAAATGTATTTCCTGAATGCTGCTTTTTTCGAAGGACAAACGTGAAATTGTACGTAAAAGAAGAACATTAAATCATATACGAAAGTTATAGACATCTTGTAATTCCCCCCCCCCCCCCCTTATTTGATCAAGGCTTTTTTTTGATACGTGTTAAGATGTAATGCTGACATTAGATCTCGATTATGGTACATACTTTTCTTTTTTTATATTTTTATCTTTAAAATTATCATGACTAACGACTCGTGAAGATTTAGGTATGTATTATATTTTTCTTTTCTACAAGCTATCTTTATCTTGAGTGCATTTTTTTCTCTGATTGTATGACATATAGGAATACTATATTATCATCGGATGTTGTCTTTTGTGGGACTACATTGATGATAATAGCCTAAGTCTGTCTTTCCTAGTTTACTAAATATTTTTTCTCTAACCTTTATATGATAAATAAAGTAATATGCTACTAATAAAATGTAATAAGTTCTTTCTATAGAAATATCTGGTAAAATGATAATTTTATAAGAAATACAATTCAAAGACATTTTTTATGTTCAATATAACTGTCAAAATTGAATATTCATGAGGATTGTTCATCATTAGGTTATAATGATTTTACTAACATTTGATGAATACATAAATTATTTTCAACTATACTAATGTAAATACTACGGAATGAAATATGAGAATAACAAATATATATATGTGTATGTGAAACTATACTAATCCAAGTTCAGAGGAATTTTTGAACTATAGGAATTGAATCTTTATAACAATTTTATCTGATATTACTATATCTAAGGTTAAAAAATATTATTTTTTTTCTTAACAATTATAACTGATCTAGTACATTGACAGATTTTAAATATGTTAAAATTTTTTTATCTCCTAATATAATAAAATAAATAATAACTGCAGTATATATAATGGTCACTCATGATAGTGCTTAGTACAAATAACATTTACATGAAATAATTGAAAAAAGTCAATATCAAATTTCCATTATGATCTTTGTCAATTTGGATAGATCGATTAAATACATTGCTTAGTATTACAAATGATGATAACTGAAAAGAAAAAGACAACATATTTAATTCTCGATCATATCTACAAGAAAAAAAATACAATCTTCAGATAGATATACGCAATAGATTTGGTTTAAGTTTTTTTTTTTCAATGATGATGCTGATCATATTGCATCATATGTATATATATATGAAATCTCGTTTGTGTCTATGTGAAATCGAATCTTTACATACTTTTCATTAAGATAAAAACATCAAACATTACGTAGCAAACAACAATAAAAAGGCAACTAGACATATTAGGAAGAAGAACCAAACGATTGAAATGAATGGATTTCATATTGATGATTATCTTATGAATTCAGACAATTGGAATATTCCACAACAAATTGATTATCCAATAAATCAATCCCAGTTTGTTGAATTATCTAATGTAAATTATGATTATCCAGTATCAAATGAAATAAGTTCAAATACTTTCAATTTGACGCCTCCTTCAGCAACAATATATGATTTACCATTACCACAACACACTTCTCCAAATTTAAAGTTAAATAAAATAAAATGTTATTATTTAAAAAAAAGAAATTCATTATAATAATTCTTTATTTAGATTTCGTACTATTCCAAATGTAAATTCACCAAAATATCAATGGTAATTTATGAAAAATTAATTTCCCTTTTTTTTTTTTCATAATCCATTGATTTGTTTAATAATATTTAGTCTTGTTTGCAATGATTTTTCAACTTCACATCATTATGGTGTTCGAACATGTGAAGGATGTAAAGGATTTTTTAAAGTAATCTTTTTAACTAAAAATAAATTATTATTTATTAATTAATTACAAAAACAAAAAAAATCTTTATTTCTTTTTTTAGCGAACAGTACAAAAAAATGCTAAATATGTGTGTCTATCTGATAAACAATGTCTTGTTGATAAACGTCGTCGTAATCGATGTCAGGTACGCATAATATAAACCAAAAAAACTTATTAATAATCATCTTTGGGGTTTGTTTTTTTTTGAATTTTTATTAATTAAAATTTTAGTGGTGTCGATTTCAAAAATGTTTAGCTGTTGGAATGATGAAAGAAGTTGTTCGTACAAATGAATTAAAAGGACGTCGTGGTCGATTACCATCGAAATATTTATCAAATCATCTTCAATTTCAAATTAATAAAACTGAATAAATAAAATTAAAAAAAAAGATTATTCGATTTGAATATGATTGATATTCTTTATTAAATAAAATAAGTACAATTTACATAATCATGATTTAACTATAGTACAACATTTTTTCAATATTCTATTGTTAATATTTATGTTAACTATTTAATTTAATTTTAATTGAATTATATTCATTAAGAAAGAAAAAAAAAACATTTACCTTGACATATCAGGAAATTAGGAAAAAAAAAATAGTTACTATCATGACCCGTTACTTTTTTGACATAATGTACCAGGTCAACTAATATGTACTTGATATTAATCGGTTTGATACATTGGACAGAACCGCGATATGCAATGACATTAGAAAGGACGAAAATGTAAGTCGTCTAACATTTCAGCAACGACAAATTACCTATAAATAAATCAATTGATGGTTATTCCGTACTTGAATTTATTTTCTGAATAGAATACTTTTTCGAAAAATAATTATATAAATTTTTCATCTTAACTTTTTATTTTTTAAATATTTCATGTGAAATATTATTAATCATTTGCATTTAAACAAAAAAAAATAGAAGTCTTACTATTCTATATTATAGCCTTTTCATACGAGTAAATTTTATTTGATTCATTTGCTTATTACATAGAAGATTATAAGATTCATTTAAAATTTATACTTCATTAAAGAAAGAAATCAAAATATAGTTGTTTATAAAATCTTATAAAACAACATATTGTATCATTTTTCCATTCTGTTGTCAAGCAATAAAGATATTCTATTGAATTGTGTTCATATAACATATCCATTTTTCTTTGTCTGTAGAACGATGAAAATATTATCTTTAATGCGATCGGCATTATTATCAAGGGATGATAGTAACTCATATTACATTTATCTATGTCTTGCAGGTAGATGAAGAAGATGAAGAAGAAAAAAAGAAGAGAATAAGTCGTATCTTTAGGTCGTATGTACTAACTAGCAACAACAACAACAACCACAAGAGCATCTATCTTAAATAATAAAGTATAACTGAGACAAATATTATAGTTCCATCTGTTGTTGACAAAAGAACATGCTAATATGTATTCACTATTATTGATTGAATCTCAACTGAGGTTATATTGTTGATAATGGTTGTTTATAAGTATATCTGTGAAAAAAAGAATGAATGTCAGTAATTATTGATTTTAATAGAGATTTATTGAAAATTCTTTTTTTTCTTTTTTTGGTACATATATAATTATATTTATTTAAACAACGGTCATGTACTTTATTTCTTTTTTATTTATTGATTATTAGTTGGTTTTTTCCTCATAACAATAAAAGAGAAAATGTTGTGTTTGATCACCTAGGTTATCAATGGTGATGGAAGAATGAAACATTTCATTGTACCGGTATTAGTCAAGTTATTGCAACATGCCATGATCGTTTTCTTTTTTTTTTCATTTCATTTTTTATTCTGATTTCGTCGAATAAAAATGACGATGTTATTTCGACAGTTGGAATTATAATAGGTTGAAAACAAGTACATAAATAATATTGATAACGTAAGTAATTTCCATTTTTTTCTGATAGTTTCTATCCTATTGCAACTTTCTTTCTCTACACTTCCTCTTTTTTCTTCCATGTTGTGTCTCAATTATGTCAAAAAAAAATGATTGGAATAACAAAAACAAGGACTTTACCCTCAAGTAAGACTAAATAGCAGATACAAACATAGACGCATGGTGTTTGGCAGATCGCCACTTTGTTTTTTTTATTCTTTTTCTTTTTCTTTTTTTCTGGCCATTGCAAGAATGAAAAAGAAAAGAAGAACAAAAAAAATAAATAAAAGAAACCCACAGACATTCGGAAGTTTCTCTTTTTTTCTTGCCACCTTCCAAATAACTATTTTTTTGTTTGTCTCTCAGTCTGTCTTGTTGTGTTCTGTATTCACTTTTTCCCCGATTTTCTTTTTTTTTTTTTTCTTCTATGATGTTATTATCGTCATTATTGTTGCTCATCTTCTCAGATTCTTTTTTTCTTCTTCTTCTTCTTTTCATATATTCCAACTTACTGTAGAAAACTTTGATTTTGATTCGTCAAATCTTGTTATTCGAACAAATGAAAGAAACAAAAAAAAAGAAAACAACATGTTTATATTTTTAACGATGAGTTAAATAAATATCAGATAAAAAGTCTAACAAAAGCAAAAGAGTACTTAACTCATAACTAAAGAAAAAATGGATCAAAATAAACATATGACCTTGTAAAAGAAGCATGAAGAATTACCAACAATTTTGTTCGGTATTCAAATTGTGCTCAATGAGTTTCTATTGGGAATAATTTTATCATCATTGGGAAAAAAAAAGAAGTGAACTCCTATGACAGGATATACTTCCATTACATTGAGCACGTTTTTTCGATTAGTTGATTTATGATCATGAATGTTTATATGAATATATATATATATATATATTTATCATAAAAAAAAGAAATATTTCCATTTTAAAGAGAATATTTTCACGTAGAATTGTAGAGTCAGAAATTCGTAATAAAATAAATAGTAAGTTATGAAACTATAAATCATTATTTTCTTTTTCTCGTACTTTACCAATGGTTTTTTTTTTTTTTGTTAATCATTATATTCTTTCCTAAGTAATACATTTACTTTCTTTAAAATTATTTATATGAAATATGTAGATTAAATAAATCAAAGAGAAAAATGATTAGTTATTAATCCAAATGAAATAAATACATTTAGCATAAGTAAATATTTTGTTTCAAAATTTTTGTGTCTTTGTAATTTATGTCTGTGTAGTTCTTTTTGTACTTTTAGTTTTTAAATAATAATCAAACATACGACGAAGAAAAGTCGAGATTGTCTACGTTGACAATTATTATTATTCGACGTGAAATATTGTAGAAGAAAGAAGATAAAGAATTTTTCTTTCTTTCTGTTGTTTTCCTTTCTTTTCGTTCTTGGCTTTTTTTTTAACGCATTGTCAGACGAAGTAAGTGAGGCTTTTGATAGTTTTGATCGGTTACATTTTTTTTTTCTTCTTCTCTTTTCTCTGCTTACCAAAAGCAAGAACCAAGTGACAGTGACATATCGACACTTAAAGAAGAGAAAAAAAAAAGAAAAGTACCTATCTAAGAAAGAAAAGAGGAAACGTCTACTACTCGCACAATCACATAGATGCTTAGCTGGTGCAATCGATTCTTTCTCTTTCTCGTGTTTTTTCTTCTTCTGTTCGTTCGTTTATACTATTGCTGTACGACGTTTTGACGTGTGTCTTTTTTTTTTCTTCTTGTGTTCCTTTCTTTCTCTCTCGTCTGATATGTTTGGTGCTGTCTCTTTTTCTCTATTGCTTACAAAACGCGATTATTACTCTTGTAGATGATTTAGTCGATTATTTTCTTAAAAACTAAACAAGTTGCTCATCAATGGATGATTGGCGAATTCAACAACAAAGAATAAATACGAATGGTATTGGCCCAATTCATAGTTATCATTCACTACATTCAAGGCCTTCACCATATCAGATCAATGAAATAAAACAAACATATCCATATCAACAAACATCAGCAATATCAGTTAAAACTGATTCAAATTCTGTAAGTTGAAATATTATAATTCTCGTGCAAAATAAAACTAAAATATTTTTACTAGGATGTCTATACTCCTCTTCCTTATGCACCAACTCAGATGGAGCAAATTCATCATCATCATCAACAACAACAACAACAACAACAACAACAACGTATAATAACTAGTAAATCTACACCCGGTCCAATATCTAATTATCATCCTGGTCATCAACAAATAATGTCAGCTCGTACACGTTCAATGCCTTATCCATCACCTTCAATGTATGCAACACATTCTTCTGCAACAGTTTGTCAATGTAATTCACATACACATTATCCATCTCAACATCAAATGTTTTATTCAAATTATTATCAATCCCAACCATTATCATATCAACAAAATACAAATATAACAAGACATGAAATGATAAAAAATAAAATAAAATCAAAAACTGACGAACCATTTCAATCATCAACATCTTATTATACATCAAATTGTTCAAATTCATATATTCCATCTCAACAATTACAATCACAAACATCATCAATATCACAAGAATATCAAACATATTCAAATCAATCACAAATATTTCCTAGTCCACCAAGTAATCCAAGTACACCATATCAAGGAGAATTTAATGGTAATACAGAGTTTGGTGTTCCATATCATCAAAGTCAACCAAGTTCTGTTAATTCACTTACAGATGCTTTATGTCCAAGTGGAGATACAGTTGATCGTCAAATGACACCTGGACCACCGGTAAAATAATGAAAATTTTCAAGAAATTTTATATCTTTTTATTTCATATATTTATCTGTAGAGTGTTGGTACACCTCGTGTTGCACAACATCAATATTCTTTTCCACAAACACCATTAACACCAACAACATCAAGATTAACAAATGAACAAAATATCGATGAACTTACCGCATTTCTACAAGATCCAATCAATACTTATTTAACAGAAGATTTAACATCAGTAAGTTTTTCTTTTCTGTTTGAAACAGTTTTGAATGTATATACATCATTGATATACATATATATAGATATATGCATATTTTATTTTATTTTATTTTATTTAGACACTTTTTGATGATATTGAAGCATTAGCTGATACGTATTTAGGTGGAAGAGGAAGTGCACAACAATCAAATATTGACACTAATTTAGATTATGATATTATTTTAAATTACCTATGCTCGGATGATCTTATAAGTACGATGTATAAAAATTGAAACAAGTGTTTATAGATTTTTATGTACGATTCTTTATTTGCTTTTGCTGTTTGATTGTATATTAATACCAAAAAAAAAAAACAAAAAAAAACAACTCTTATTTATTGTATATGTGCTAGACTTTGTCTTTTCTTTTTCTCTTTATTATTATTATGATTATTATTATTATTAATGTTTTCTCTTGTTGAAAAAAAAAGTATTTTCGTACTTAATAAAAACAATACAATAGATTACTTGAATACTAAATATTTTGATCAAAATATAACTGTTGATTTTTTTTATGTACAATTAAATAAATATATAATATCAAGAATTTTTTAAAATAAGAAAATCAATTGAATAACTTTTTATTTCCATTGATTTTATCGTAATCTATGATAGTTATAAATGTAAGCAGATCTATATATTGTTTTAATAATAAAATATTCTCAATTTTCTTCTCAGTAGAAATAATAAAATATCTTTTAATATTTTATACGTATTTCTATGTAAGATTTCTTAATATATCTTTACATCTTTTATTTTATGACATGAATTGAAAAAAGATTTTTTTATATTTTCTTTAATCTCGTAGACATCTATTTATAAACAAAATCTGATATTAAACCGTTTTCATTAGTTATATATAGATATTCTTTTGAAACATACTTTGTAAATCATGAATATAGTTTACAATGGAATAATTCTATATTATTTTTCTTATTCAAAAGAAAACAATTCTCATTAATAAGATAGTCGAAAAATTTTTAGAATCAATTTCATTGAAATATGTTACTTTTTAATAAACAGTGCATATAACGTATTTTCATTGATAAAAATTCAATCGACAACTTATGATTGCTTCAAATAATCCATATCAAAGAAGTCAAGATAGTCAAAATTTTGTTTAAGTTTGTTTTTCTATGTTGTTTACATCGAAGAATCGAATACTGACATTATCTTATATGTGTTTCAAACTGTCGATATAGCGCACATTATGTCAATAATGAACCGATAGTAGTTCGATACTTTTAAATTGTCAGTCATCTTTTGACTGTCATTCTATCACCAACATAGATGTGTAACTGAACAATTGAATTAGAATTTGTTTTTATTTTATTTTTTTATTATAATCTTAAAATATTCATAAACGTAGATTGTATCAAAACTAATACATATATATATATATTCAGTATTTAAATGGCACCAAATGTCAAGCATTGCTTTTTAGTTTTTATATATTTACTTATGATTCTATGTTGTTTTATTTACTCACTTTTAAAATCAATCAGTGTTAATAACAGTATAGAAATTGTCGTTCTTGTGCCTATTTTAAGAATATGATGTCTATGGGCTTTTATATATATATATATATATCTAACGACATTATTTTTAAGTAAATATGTTTGATGTCAATGAATAACAAAAATTAATACTACGAAATTGATATAGATATGATACTAAGACTCATAGTCCATGTTAAATTTATATCAAGTTATTAACTATATATGAATGAGGTCTATTTGTTACTCTATATGATAAGTATACTTCTTGTTCATTATTATCAAATCAATATATTGTTTATATTTAACTCTTTATCATTCAATGGCGATTTTAGAGGAACCAATGATGACATAAACACACAAATCAAGCATTGGTCTTGTTCATATGCTGATGTTAGAAATAGAACAAGCAGTTCTATTATACTTTATGTCGAATAGTTTGATCAATTCAATGACCATAAGAAAAAATAAGAGAGTCACGTGATTTGAAAAATTGTACTTTTTCACTTCGTAATGATAGTTTTGAGTATACAAGAGTAGATTCCTTTTTCTTTTTTGCTTCGACTAATATGATACAAGAAATGTAGGAGATATGAAAAAAAAAATTTTTTTTTAACAGTGTGTTTACTTCAGAGAAATTTTTTTAAAAATACTTCTTTACTCATCAAGTAATCAATAAAAATATTTTATCAATGATAGATAATTTTTTTTTTGTTTCTAATGTGATAAGGTTTACAAAAGAAAATATGCATGTTATATACCATTCTTCCTCGTATCTTCTCAAATGGCTATTGCAGAGTCTAATCAATGATTTATCATTGCTTATCTGTCAAACTATTAAGAAATTTGTGAAATGCATATGAGTCATTAGTAAACATTTTCATCGATATATATCATAAAACACGTCTTCTAGAAGTATTTTGTCTCTGTAAGTAGAACAGGCGCCGATGAAAAAATTTTATTTTTCGATAAGTCCTGTATAATCAACATAGAGTAAGCTGTGAATCACATCGTTCGATTTTTTTTTTCAATGGCGTTTATGCTAATGTTCATGTTACTAGGCATTGAAAGGTAAAAAGAAATTAACAACGAAAATTATAGAAAACAAGAAAGGTGAAGCCAATTCACTGAACCTTCACTAGTTCCATAAATAGTTGCTCAAAATTCCAGTCGCCACTGGGACATAAAAATAGATACTTAGAAAAAACAAAAATCTTTGACAATCGGAATCAGTTTTCAGAAGTTTCGTATCATCGGATACATTAACAGTATTCTTTCTAGAAATAAAACTATGTTCGAAAATATATTATCGAATACTAGCAACTTGAATGTATTGAGTCAATAAAAAATATATTTCTTACGAGGTATCATTTTTAATAAACTACTGGACACCAATAACTTAGCGATAAGTTTATTTATTTTTTTAATCATAATAATTATGTTAAGTGCTTAATTTATGATAATCATGGAAATTCATCTTTAAATGATTGAAGTTTAATTATGAATTGGATTAGATACTAAATGTGTTAACTATTTAATATTCCAATGAAAATGATTAATACTATCTTTGTCAAATTTTGTCCTTCTAATCTGTAGAATGAAATTTCACACATTCAGTTTTCATTCTCATAATTGTTTAAACAGTATATTGTAAATGTAGGATCATTAGCGAAATTTTTTTTTTCGCATATGTTTATAAGAAAAAAGTTATGCATAAAATTAAAACAAAGCCATAAGCGCTATGTATTATGAACATAAAATTTTTATCAAATATCATTCTACTGATTTTTCCTTAAATGCTATTACGTAATGATATATGTCATACTACAGTTTGCTAATACTAGACTTATTCTATTTTGATTTTTATCAGATCAATAACAATTAAGATTTATATGGGCGTCCATCATAATATGCTTTAAACAAAATATTTTAACAGCTATTAAGGTCAATAAAAAGTTTTATTTCATTCTGTAATACTGTATGATTAAATATTCTTTAAATGAGACAGTGCAACATAATTGAATTGTTCATTAAGTATTATAGGATCACAAAATTAGTTCAAACAAGCCAAAAGTAGTGGCGAAGGTACCTTAATTCTTTAATAGAAAAAGCTTAAAGACATTGCTGTGCTATATGAACTGACAATAAAACTACCACTTTATCCTTTGGACAATATTATATCATTCTTCAACTAATATCATAATAATAAAATTTCAATAAGAATAATTTGTTATAATATGTGATGATAACAAGTGGTCATATTTGTCGTCGATCGGTATTCTTTTTTTTGATCTTCTCCTCTCTCCCTTTCTCTGCTCGTTTCCTTTTATGGTTAGCCGTTTATATTAATTAGAGTACAAAAATAGTGTTGTCTACAGAACAGAAAAGAAACACAGAAACATTCTCATCAAGTTTTTATTTCATCAAATATTTGATGTTATTTGCTGTAGTTATTTACATACAATGGCACTGGTTGAATCTATTTATTGAATATTTTTCTTAATACTTTTCTTTCTTCAAAAAATTTTACGAAGTCTGTTACAATACGATGCAACAACTTGGAATCATTTGAATTTTTGTTCGATTAAGTCGAATAAGGAAAAACCATATAGTGCCAAATTCCGAGAATTATGCAGATGTGACATTATTACCATACCTATCGATTCAAAATGATTGGACATATCTTTATGAATATATGGTCTCTCATTAGAAACAGGTAGGTATTACAGAGTGTACGGAAGAAAAAGAAGAAAATAAAAATGATTTGATATTACCATTACATATCATAATAAATGGCTCTTATCAAAATTTTTTTGCTTATGATATTAATTGAAGAATGATGCAATAACGCAGAAAAAATAGAGCGTCATGTTCACTATCAATTCATGCAGACAGATAGGTTTCTTTAAGCTTTTTATAAGAAATTGCAAGTGCTTCTACCACTACTTTCGGTATACCATAAAAAATTACCGTACCAACCTCTCAAGTTTACATTTCATCTTATATAGTTATTTTATAAGTTTTAAAAACATCCAAATATTATTGTATTAGAACTTAATAAGAGCCACAGAATGAATATTACTTTTTCAATATATGTTTATTGAGTGGATACCTATATGATGAAAACTGTAAGAATTTGTCTGTTAACTGCTATTTATTGGTAATTGTTTTTAGATAAAACCGGTCGCTTCCACTTGGTACCGAATTTAAAATAACTGCACTTTTTAAGAAAATGTTCGAATGCCCACATATTTTTACAGCTTGTCATGGATTAGATAATTTCATCGTAGTGAAAAGCCGTCTTAAACATAAACACAACATGAAAATGTCTCCTAGTCTCTATCCAGTTTAGAGTTTCTTCTTGCCGTTTAATTGGTCACAACTGGCCAATTAGGTGTTTTGTAACTAGCTATTGTCTACTAAAAACACAAGGTATATCATACAATATGTTTATTTGTAGTGAGATTTATTTTCAGTTGAGTCGTTGTGCCCATTTTGATTCTGAATAAGCCCAAATATAACTTATAAATTGAATTTGGGTTATCAGATATTTTTAATCTATGAAAAACAAGCCAATCACTACTCTTTGCAACTCATACCGAACTTTTCGGTTTTTTATTTGCCCTTTGGCGGTCATTGTAAGCAGTTGATTACAGTTGTTCGTTGATTTTCTACAATATAGCGTGATCTATTGCTAAAAATAATCTAGTATTTGAAACATGGGTAGCAATGGCAAATGTTGCATCATCTATTCGTTGTCTTTATCACTAAACAACTCTTTTGAAAAACAAATGTATTCTACATGAATGTTGAGAAGAATGTTAAATGGCTCCATCACTTGTACATCATCCTTTTCTTTTAATCATGGTTTTGGTGTCTTCATATATGTGCTCCGTCTTTAGCTTCTTTTCTTCTGATATCATGCATGAATTTATATGCGTTCTATTCTCAAGTATGTTCAGGCTCATGTGGTTCATTAATGTTCTCTCTCGTACTCTCTAGTGAGCTCTTTATGCTCTTATACTTTCTGGGCATTTCCTTTCGTTTTCACAATCTTACATATACATCCGTTGCTTGAAATAATAAAAACATTGTATAGTCGCAATAAGAAAGCAATTATTTTTGACTAACAGCTAGTTACCAGTGGATTACATCATAAGAGTCAGTTTTCATACCATGCATCCTCATTTTGTCTTCGACAATCTCAACGAAAATATGTTACAGACATCATTATAATATAGTTCTTGAAGAGTTTTAAATATCTTATTAATTTTAGTTAGATCAGTTTTAAGAAATAATTTCATAAGAGTTCATTTGATTGGCATTATTATCGAACTGTTGTGACATTGCTAATTATCTAAAAGAAATCGTGAACAATGTTTAAGTAGATAGTAAAAGAGACATGTTGATATTGTCCCATTGCTTGGTTTTAAGTTGGAATTCATGGATGATTTCAAATTTTTCGTACGTCCTCACTCTGCATGCAATTAAACACTTGTCTTGTCTGATGCATAATAGACTTAAGTTAAATTTTTGTGTTTCTTTCATTTCGAAGGTGGTATCTCATTAAATTCACAGAAAAAGAAAACAAAAGATTAATAACCGACGTGATTCGAACTAAAGAAAAGTCGCCAATGGCTTGATACTTAAACGGTTGTTTATCCTCAAACTGCTGTCCTATCGTGGCTCTCCAGTCGTGATACGAATAAAGGTGCGAGTGTGCATCAATTTTGATGAAATGAAAAAACGTCGAAAATATTACTGTGCTATTTGAGCAAACACTATTCATGTGAAAGCACAAGAGATTGATGCCCCTGCAGACTATCTATATATTGTCAGTGAAAGAATATACTTCAGGTTTATTGATAGTATTTTCGATGTTTTTTCTTTCTACGAAATCTATACAAGTCTACACAATCGCATTAATAATTTGTATTATAGACCGACTCATAATTCTAACTATACATTAGATTTTCTAACTAATTGGTCTGTATAAATACGAAGAAAAGAAAACAAATCACAACGTAGATATAATATATTAGTTGGTCTTTTTTTGGGTCTTGTAAAAAACTGCTTTTTGTTGTAAACTGAAGTGTAGGCTTTTTTTTCGAACACGAACATCGATGATATCTTGGGCTTTTACAATTATATGAGATGCTTTACAAATAAATGTCAATGTAACTATCATCATCTTTGACAACTAAAACTAAAATAACCATAGTTATTCATGTGATCAGCAGTGTTCATCCATATCCTAAAGTTATCCTTGGATACCGTGATATTAAAGTGTAAAACATTTCGTACAGATTAAAATCAAAATAACCATGAGTATTCCTAGCAGAGATGTCCACAGGATATGGTAGGATGGAGAAGAATTCTCTGTGAACATCTCTATTACCAGTTTATTATTACAAAAGAACTCTGTAGTAATATTGTTTCTTTTTTCTCGTTGACATTTATCACGGATCTGTATATGACTTTCATTGCTATTAAACCTATATGTTTGTTCTGAATATTCATCATGTAATAGCAAGTTTGCTACATCTATGTTATAAATCGATATTATATGTAAACTAGTCGAAAACTCAAATAATCACGCGATAAAGTTAAAGTAGATGAGCAAATGCAATAAAGGTCATCAAAACCAACAACCAAGAAATTTAAAAGCGAAGAATATTTATTTAGACGATTTGAATTTGAAAATCTTGATAAAGAATGATTAAGAAAGTAGTACTGAAAGCGATGTATCTGAATTCGATATTAACAAAGGCAATTATAACTTGATCGTTACGTGTTTCTTGCAATTGATGAAAATAAGCAAACTATAGAATCTTCACAATTTTGGAAAGATTACCAATATCAATTTCAATCTCTTTGTAAATATACTCGATTCATTCTATAGATTTCTGCTGCAACAATAAATGTTGAAAGAGAATTCTTAAAAGCAGGATAAGTTTTAAATCAATGACGGTCAAATTTGAAACCAATCAAAGTGAATTATTCTTATTCATTGTTAATTATATATACTTTTTCACTTTATTACTCTGACAAGTGAATACCAAGCATTTGAACGTACACATAGAGATGCTGTGTTTATTATATTCTCTTTGTTCAGCAGAGTAGGAAACAAATCCTTTAAAACAGTTTTTTTTCTCTGAAGTATGAAAAAACGCCCTGCGGGTATCTTGTGTGCGTAGTTTTTTTTCTTTTTGGAGGCATCGATTCTTTTCAATGTTCTTATATGCCAATATTTTATATCTCACTGAATCGTATATATCAACATGTTTTATTGAAAATTCTTATAGCATAATATTGTAGTGTTTAAATTCATAGTCATCTAATATTTATTTTCCAATAGAACATCATCAATTTGTTCTATTGATAAATAACTTAATCAAATATAAGAATAGAAATAAGCTATTCGATCAATCTAAATATTTTATTTTATTTTATTTTATTTTTAATAACTAAAGAAAAGAGACGCTAAAGTGAATAAAATGTCGTAGACTAGACTAGATGGCAATATAGTGATATTAAAGTCAATATATTTTATTTATTTAGCCGATTTGTCACTAAGACCAGTAACACCGGGTAGATCTTTACCTTCAAGAAGTTCAAGACTGGCACCACCTAAAACAAAAATAAATCTCACAAATCTCATACAAAAACAAATGAAACAATTAAAAAAAACATTGTCGTGTACGCACCACCAGTTGATACATGACTCATTTGATCAACAAAACCAAATTTAGCACAAGCAGTAGCTGTATCACCACCACCAATAATTGTTGTAGCATGTGCTTTCGTTTGTTCAGCAACAACTTTAAGTAATTCTTTTGTACCATTAGCAAATTGATCTTGTTCAAAAACACCCATTGGACCATTCCATACAATAGTTTTAGCTTGTTTAATAGCTTCACTAAATTGTTTAATTGATTCTTTACCAATATCAAGACCAAGATAATCATCTTCAATACCATTTTCTTTTGTTGCTTCTTTTGTATCTTTTGATTTAATATCATTAGCAACAATAAAATCAACTGGTAAATGAATTTCAACATTTTTAGCTTTAGCTTTGTCAAGAATTTGTTGAATAGATTTTGAACCTTCACTATCGAATAATGATTTACCAATTTTCATATTATCTTTTTGTTTAAGAAAAGTAAATGCCATACCTATTGAGAAAAATACAAAACGAATATTTTCTTAATAGTAAAGAAAAAACTTTTCTAATTCACCTCCACCAATAATCAATCCATTTACTTTATCTAAAAGATTTTCAATTAATTGAATTTTGTCTGAAACTTTGGCACCACCTTAAATATAAACAAAAAAATTCAAAAAAAAACAAACAATCAATTGTAACAAACCAAGAATAGCAAGAAAAGGACGTTCAGGATTTTCTAAAACTTTTCCAAAATAATCAAGTTCTTTTTTCATTAAATAACCAGCAGCACGTTGATCAAGTTTAACGCCAACAATTGAACTATGAGCACGATGTGCGGCACCAAATGCATCATTAACATCTATAGAAAAAAAAAAAGAAAGAACAAAAATTTTTCTAATAAAATTATTATCAAAACATATAAAAGATGTCTTACAAACATCACCAAGTTTTGATAAACTAGCTCGAAATTTATCTACAGCATCTTTGTCAGCTTTTGTTTTATTTCCTTGTTTATCTTTAACTGAACCTTCTTCTTCAAGATGAAATCGAAGATTTTCAAGTAATAAAACTTGTCCATTATCAGCTTCTTTAGCTGCATGTTCAACTTCTTCACCAACACAATCATTTAAAAATTTAACATCTTTACCAAGTAATTTTTGTAATTCATCAGCAACTGGTTTTAAACTTTCTTTTTCAACACGTTTACCATCAGGTCGACCCAAATGAGACATAAGAATGACAGCTTTGGCACCTTTATCAAGAGCATATTTTATTGTTGGTAATGCACCTTGAATACGTTGTTTATCTTTTACTTGACCATTTTCTAATGGAACATTAAAATCAACACGTATTAAAACACGTTTTCCTTGAAGGTCAAGATCTTCAATGCTTAATTTATTGCTAATACTAGCTTTGGTATTTGATGTTGCCATTGTAAAAATATTTTTCGAATACAAATAATCAAGATTTGAAAAGTTCGAAGTAAAAAATCGAGAAATAAATGCTAGGCGCAATATATTTAATTTTTGTTTTTTATTTTTTGTTTTTTTATATGGTACAAAGTATAATCAGTTATAAGTCAAAAGAATATATATATATTGATGTAGAGCAGTAATGCAGACAGAACGAGCAAGAAAACGTTTTTTACTCAGATCAAAAAAAAGAAAAGGAGGCCAGCACCATTGTTACCAACATTGTAATGGTAATGTTGATTGAATTTATGTTTAAATATAAATGTCAATGTTACAATTGCTTGTATTTTGTAACCTAGAGCAACACTTATATTTTCAAAAAAATAAACATGTGTGAATAAATTTAACAAAAAACAAAAAAAAACCAATAAATCTATGATTCAGATATATATCTATATTAATATATTTTTTACTGATTTCTAATAATATTGTTTAGTATTTTCTTACAACACACAGAAAACACCATATGGCTTCTGTCGACGTTCAACACACTTCTCCATTAGGCTTCTCTGTTAAGACACCTAGGTATAATTTTATTTTAAATAATTTTTTTTTTTTTTGTTTAATTATTTCTTCTAGATTTCAAACTCTTGGTTTACATCCAGAATTATTAACACGTGTTCAACATCCAACTTCATCTGATGTTGCTCCAGGTTCTTATGATCTATTACAATATGGTGATTTTAGTGATAAAAATGTTCAAAAACGTAGAGAAGGTCCTAATTGGCAACAAGCAATATATACAGAACAAATGGCTAAAATTCCTCATTCATCATTTAAAGAAACATATGAAAAACGAAAAGAAGATGAACGACGTGTTGGACCAGGTACTTATTCAATTGATGATTTTTTAACAGAAGCCGATCGAAGACCACGTTGTATACGAGGTGCACTTAATCAATTAACATCTCGATTTCCAAAAGAACAAGAAGTATGATGAATTATTTTAATATTTATTATAATACATCTTTAAAATAGGATCGTGCACCACCACCTGGTGCTTATGGTATACCAGATGAAAAAGTTGTAGAAAAACATTGGCAACAAGGTAGTAATATTCCTTCATTTGAATGGAATCAAGGACCTCGAACATTACCACTTGAAGTAAAGCAAATAATGAAAGAAAAAAAAAGTGTTTTTCTTTTCTTTTTATTCTTGTATAAACATATTTTTAGGGATCAAAAATAGGTCCAGGAACATATAATCTAAAAAGTTCAATTGATGAATTAATTAATAAACGTGTTAGTGAAAAAGGTCCTTATCAATTATTTACAATAAGCCGTTCAGCACCCATTATAACTGGTCATTATGCTGTATTAGATACATGGAATTTATCCCCTGATTTTCCATCAAAAGATTATCCAAATTCAATATCATTTACACGTGAATTAGAAAAAAATAAGAAAAAAGGAGCATTTAGTAAATTAGATCGTTTTCAAAAGAAACCAACTGATCGATTAGCTATTGAACATCCAGGTAAACATTTTCAAAAAGAAAAAGCCAATTAATCTTATTTTCATTTTATTTTTAATTCAAGGTCTTGAACCGAAAAATGTCGACTTTCCTGGACCAGGTGCTTATGTGGTAACTCGTCCGTGGGAACAAAATGATTTTCATGCGAAAAAAGTTTCATTCAATGCTACATCATCAAGAAATGATAAACGTTCATTTACTCATACTGGTGCTCATCATGTATGTTGTTCATGTTGTTAAATCAAATCACTGCTTTAAAATTTATTTTATTTTCTTAAGTCAGTCGGTGTTGGTCGATATAATCTACTTGGACCAGTAAGAGATGAAACAATAGCTGATAAGCGTAAACGACCAAAAAGACGAAATATTGGATTTTTATCAACTACAACACGTTTTGCATCTGCTGATGGGGAATCACTATTAAAGTACGTTTTCTTTTTCTTTGCTAATTACGGTTTCTATATCTTTATATTTATATTCTAGTGAACGTTTAAAACCACAAAATCTTCGAACAGAACAACGAACACAATTATATCTTACTGGTCGTGTCTCATCCTAATTCCACTATGCAATTCTATAGACATATTCGAATAACCCTAAAAAACAAAATTTTTTTTTTTGATAAATTTTTCTTCCTTATATCTTTGTTTGTTTTTCACATAATATTTATAAGATGTATATTTTTTTTTACTTAAGTAAAAGCAAAAAAAGAAAATCATTCACAATTCTAATATTCAATTATTTTTCATTAGATAAAATTAAATTTATAATGCTTTCTACCAATCGAGCAAAACCCAATGATCTTTTGTATGTTAATAATATTTGATTGCTTTACTTTATAATTATTTATCTTTTTACAATATCTTTTATTCAATTAGCAATTTTCAAGGTATACGAAAACGTATTATAATTGCACCAGACTATTCGTCAAATGATGAACGATTAAAGACAATAACTTCTGAAGATGAAAATAAACAGATTGATAATGAATATAATGAATTAGATTTAATTGGTGAACAATTTGAAGCTTATGTTCGACCATCCATTGAACGATCTCAATGGATTTCTAATCGTAAACATGAACGAAATGAAATAGATCGTCTTGGAGATATTATTCATTTTTATGAACATAAACCAAACTTAACCGAATTTGAAAAACGTGTTTATAAACGATTAACACGTCAAGATCGATCAGTTCAAACAGATCAAGAACCAGAAAAAAATTTAAACACAAAACAAAATCGAAATCGTGTACCAGTTATTCGTCTTCCAACACCATTAGCCATGGAACGTGTTGAAAATTTTTTAATTGATAATCATTGGCGTTTAGTTGATTTATTTCGTACACTTGATCGAGATAAATCATGGACTGTTGTTAAAGAAGATTTTATGCATTTAGCTGAAAAAGTAAAAGTTTATATATATTAGAACAATATATATATGAAATATATATAGGAACAACTTAATATAACGGATGCTCAAGCTGATGAATTGATTACATGCTTTTGTCGAGAAGTTGATGTTCCATTGAATTATAAAAGATTTGCTCGTGGAAGAGCACTATATAAAAAAAATATACGAGGTTAAATTATAAACAAATTTTGTTTAAAAAATAGTTCTCGTTTTATTCTATTAATAGAAAGTGCTAGTAAAACTCCTAGTTCATTGGATACTCAACTTGAATCAGATACATCAACAACACCCTCTTCAAGTCATTTACAACTACCACCAACTGATATATCACATCAATATCCAACACGAGATTCTTCTTCCTCATATAGTCGATCAACTAAATCCTCATTAGCAAAAAATAAAGTATACTTTCATTTTAAAATCTATTATTTATTGTAAATCTTTCTTATTTTAGAGAGTATCAGTATCCACAGTACGAACTGAAAGTAAATTAAGTACATATGAATAAAATAAATATTGTTGTGTAAATAAAATTGCTGCTAGCGCAATTCTTGTGAGATTAAAATGTGAAACATGAATGATCTGCATATATTATCAATTAAAGGATTCTACAAATATATACTTCAGTTTAGGATTTCTTCAATGTATTGATATATCTGCGATGAAAGATGCTATTTACAATACTTTATAAGAAATTTAGAACCGAAATAACAGACAGGTATCTTAAAATTAATCTTCTTTCATAATAATCATACAGAAAGTTTTAGTTCCGTAGTTAAATCATTAACAAATTGTAATTGACAAGGGTGTTACTAACCTACCAGTGATGTTTTCAAGGTTATGCCTTTCACAATGTGTGAAGATGAAAGGCAGATTTCCACCAACACACTTGAATGCTCTTTTTGGAATATCTTTTAAAAACCAAATTATATATATTGCATAAATGAAAATCGTTCACAATATATAAATTTCTTTCAAATGAGTTTACCTGTATCTGCAAGGTCAATCCTTTTTATCAGAATTAATAATCATTTCAACATTTTTTGATACATAAAATCTATATCATTATTGAACGATAAATATAGTAATTGAATGATGTAAAAGTACATTTAAAAAAAACAGAGTATGAATATTCGGATCTAATATATAAAGACCACGAAGAAATAAATGTCTATGTCAATATCATACAAATGCATTAACACTATACATTGACAACAAAAATTTGGTTCCTAGTAAAATGAATATAACATATTGTTGATATATAGGTAAAATCTATTCTTGAATATTATAATTCTTTGTTTGAATAAGTAAAGAGCATATTTAATGGTATAGAGTCTATACCATTTCATTCAATAATATGATAATTTTAGTCTATTTTTATTGAAATTATTGATGAATTGATGTTGTTTTCTATGATACTCAAATGATCATTAGTGTCTACGTTCGAGAGTTTTTGTTTTTCACGTCTGTTTATGTCAATTTTACCACCATTAACTTTCAAAATGTATTGACTTGATAACTATTTGATTTTTTTTGTAATGAAAAATTATAAAATGACTTATTTTGAAAGGTAGCTATCCGTCTTGTGAATTATCTTCATGTTTATAATTATATACATTTCGTCACTAATACATCATAATTCAATTGAAAAATCTCCATTTTCTTACATGCGATATGATGCCTTTTAATAATAATACGATATGATGCACAACATTTGTATAATCCTTCGCGAGCTTTTTTTCTCTTTTTAATGTTGTGCGGAGCAAAGTGTTAATATAGTCTGTTATAAGAGACTTTTTTCTTTTTTACTTTCTTGACGGATGTAATATAAGTCGGCACTTTCTATCATGATGATCTTGAGAAAGGAAAGATACAAAAAAACAAACAAAACCTTTTCAAATGCAAGTATTAAAATTCATGATCAAAACGATACTATCCGTTATATGATCTACAATACTGCCTTGGATTTTTTTATGGAAAGTCATTTCAATAGTGTAAACACTTGTGAAATTTGTTTTTCTATTCATAAGCTTAGAGATTATTAAAATAAACATAACAATAATAGTTAATCAGCGTATTCTTTGCTTGAATCTAATGCAACTGATAATAGAAAATTAATTAGAGACAGCAATTCAAAGGTCAATGGAAAGTCTTAATTTAATAACATATTACGGATTATCCAAGTAACGCGACACTTCGCTGATTAAGTCTTTAAAAAATATTTTTTCGATATGGGCAGATTTGAATACTTCATTAGATGTAGTTTTTTACGTTGATTACGAATTCGACATTTTTTCTTTTAAAAAATTGGGTTTTGGAATCGAAAAACGGATTTTAAGCTTTTCAAAAATCGTATTTTGAATTTTCTAATCCAGAATATTTTTCAAAAACTTTCGAGTGACATACCATTCGATGAAGAATTCAATTCTCTAGATATACATCTACTTGGTTTTGATTTTCATCGCTAAGGAAAGCTTGTGTATTCTTGTACATTTTCCAACTTACTGTACAGTTAATAACCGTCCTTTTTGATGTAGCAACTTGATTTTTGCGTAGAGCGATCATATGTACGATAATAACCAATATTGATAAAAATCAAGTATATTTGAGCACATCAAGTACCTTAAAATTGATGAAAATAAACGTATGTCTCAGAGTTACGTTTCTTTTGCATTTTTTATCTAAGCAAAAATAGTGTAGAGAAACTCTTTTTGTACCTTTTAAAAGCCTGTTCGAAGCTTTTAAAGCTGGCTCTAGAAGTGTTTCACTTGGAGAGATAGTTTTTTCAAGAAATTGGAGTTTTGTTAGCGACGATGAAGAAAAAGGATTTTTTTTTAATGTCGCTGCATTACTTGACAAAAATTCTTTCTCGAATCTCGAGAGTTAAACCTCCAAACGTCGCTTTTATAGCATAAATAGAGCACGGAAAGCTGCGTCGAATGGTGTTTCAACAAATTTTCTAGCTCTCACAATTTCGGAGATAATTGAAATAAATGTGTTAAAAATGTCACAGCGTTACGTTTGGACAAGCTCATTTGTATCTGCTAATAGAGTTCTCTCAGTAACGCTTTTCACAACGATTACGTTGTTGTATCATATCAATTTCCTATAGTTGATTGATCGAAACATAAATCTTTCGATTTATACCAAGACAAAGACCTCTTAATTCCCGTAAAATATAAAAATTTTTTAAGAAAAATGTCTCATTTTCAATTGAAGAAACAATTATTTCCTTTCCTGTTGGAAGGTATCAATCTCATTTTTTATCAATTGAAATTGGAAGTTACGCACTACATTTCGTCATCGAGTGAAACTCAAATATTAAAGGATGATTCAGAAGTTTCGACTGCTCTTAGTAAATCGATGATATCTATAACAAACTAATATGAACTTATTGATCAAATTATGTCATGTTGTAGAGCAAAATTAGAGCTATCATCTTAAACAAATAGTTCGAAATACATAAATCTATTACAATTTTATGGTCATATTCCTAGTCTTGTGTAGAAATTTTTTACATTAGATATTTTGAAAAAACAAAATATATTTGTAACATCTAAAGCAACATTTTGTATTCTAGACATTTTTAGATGATTCAAGAGAGTTCGACAAGCTCTACAAGAATATGTACGTTTGCAAAGCTTTTGATCTTATTTTCAATATAAAAATTGAAGAAAATCAGAAAAGCTAATAAAAATATCATGTATCAAATATTAGAGAGAATAAGTTGATCTTTCAGAAGTGTTAGCTGGTTGATTATTTCATCTATTCAGGTAGCTTAGAAGAGGTATTTTTCGCTTCAGTTTGTAACACTGCATTTAGAAACATCATTAATAGTCGATCAACTAAAGTTTTTGAAAATTAAGCAGACTATTTCATGAAAGATATGTAAAAATTTTATTAGTTTGCGTAGTTTCATTGGAGTTTCATATTAGAAACAGGATTCAAATTTATTTTTGATACTCATATTTTTTTAGAGCTTGTTGAACTCTAACGAACCACATAAAAACATCTATTAAAAACATGTAGAAAATAATGTTTGGTTCGACTTTAACGACTCAAACATTAGAGATTTTTTGATTTTTTTTCAAAAAATGTCACGTAAAAATTTTCACTCAAAATTAGTAAAATGACCATAAGATTGTAATAGATCTATGTATTTCGAACTATATTTTTTTTTTCGGTTGATAGTTCTAATCTTCCTCTACAAAATAACATAATTTGATCAATAAGTTCATATAAGTTTGTTATAGATATTATCGATTTACTAAGAGGAGTCACAACTTTTGAACTATCCTTTATCTAATTTCTCCTTTTTATTTTTCTTCACATATCAATGTATATTTTTGTAATTCAATGTTATATTGACATGTTACTGTAGAGTTAATTTTACTACATGTAAGTATATTTTAGCTGATGTTTGAGTGATATGCATTTACTTCCAAGAAATAATAGTTTACACAATACAATACATTTCATGAACTAAATTGATGCAAGAATAATGCCATTACAGGTGGTTTTAAGTTTTACCAAGAAAAGAAAAAACATTTTTACCTTCACATTTGATGTATTTTCGATTCTTGAGTTTCATATGAAACGAAAAAATTTTATTTTCAAATTCGTATTATAATAAAATTATTTCTTACATCAATATCTTAGTATAAATAATTAAAAAGTTACTCATATGTCATCGAATAGCAATATGTACATTTATAAAGAGTAATTTTATCTTTGATCAATAAAAGCTTTCCTTATGCACATTATTATCTTTGATATACAAACACAATTTAACAGTCATGCTCATAAATAGATAGAAGACGCATTTTTACTATCGAAAAACAAAAATGTTTTACTTGTCAAAATGACTTTAAAAGATCGTTTTTTATAAATATAACTCTGCTTTTTGAAATCGGACTTTCCATTTTGAATGTTTGACTAGTTTTCTTTTTTAAATAGCCATAATAAAAAGAATTTTGCACGTCTATTTAATAAACAAGACTTCACATTCAGCAAAAAAAACAGAAAAGAAATATCAATCGGTGAAATGTATGTAGATTATAGAAAGTATTTGGATAAAAAAAAAAATTTTAACTTTAGAAGAAAGAAAAAAAACAGTTTGTACTTTATTTTTTTCAGTTTCTTTTAAGGATATGTCAAGAGAAAGAAAGAGAAATCGATCAAAAAATGAAATAGATCGTTGTTGCCATAATATGCATCCATGAAATCTTCTTTCAATACTGGCTAGGCAACATTGTTGTGCTTTTTTTATTTTTCTTAGCAACTCGTACACTTGTTTAGTGCATATATATATACATACAAACCAATCTATTTTTTCAGTTTGCTTAAGTACGCATTGACATTGCATTTTAGACACGACAATAAAGTTTCACTCTTTAAATTATTTAAAAGTATAGAAATTAATATTTATTTTCTTTTTACAAAAAAAAAAAACGTCAAATGGGAACTTGGATAGGTCACATTGCACCAGGTATGTTCAAAACAATGAAC